GCATGCCCAAGATCTTGATTTCAAAATAGAGAAGCTAAGAAATATTCCGAGAAAAGTTCACCTTTCCACAGACAAACTGCTGCAAGGTAAAAATAGTTTTAACAATGACCACGGATGCCAATTGGCGAGAATTTTTAAGGTCTTAAAATAAATATTCAATATACAATGAAAATGAGTCCTTGTTTTTATTCCAAAGAAACTCAAGTTCAGAGAAGTGGCCAGACAGTGAACAATTCACAGAGGGGGAAAAGGAAAAAACCACTTCCAAATTGTTTCTTAAATACAAAATATATTTTATGTGTTTATGGAGTCACCACAATGAAACTCCCTTGGACTATCAATGTATTCTAATAAAAAATAAAAATAAATATCTAAATACTATGTAAGAATGCTTTCCTAAGCGTTTATTTTTTTAAAGTCTTAACAATGTTGTTGTTGAAAATATTTAATATTTGTCATCAAAAAATAATTTCAACTTTTTCTTGACAGTTCTACTACTGACACTGTGCTATGATCATAAATGTTTGGCAGTAACACAATTCATGCCTGGGTTCAAATCCAGGCTGTGATTTATACGCCATCCAGATTCTTTATCGGAAAGCAGCACTAGTGAGAATAGAATGAAGGATTGTGTGGGGGAAACTGGTGCTATGTCTGGTATATCATTGCTAGAGAGTAACTGCTGATCTCCACAAAGAAAGGAGTGTCACCGTGAAATTCATCCTGTCATTTCCTTCAAAGGAGTTTAAGAATGGTCTACCTTCTATTGGATTCTACTACTGGAGTGTGTAAGTAGTGACTACCAGAAAGTCCGCTCCGTTGCTCTCCGAATCACTCTTCACATCTTTCAAAGGCAATTATGTGCTGCCACCTCTATGCGCAGTTGCAAGAGGAGGACATATAGAGGTATCTGTATTTGTCATTATGATACTTTTGGTTGTTGGGCCTTGGGCTACGGCGTTTCTGAGGTTGAATTCTTTTTTTCTTACTCAGATCAATTTTTTCTGAGTAAAATTCAAAGCTCTCATGAAAATCAGTCTTTTTCTGAAATTTGCATGACTAATTCGTAAATAATTGTGCAAAAGTGACAAGTCTTTTTAAATTCTTCAGTTCCTTTTCCTCTTCACAAGCTTATGTATCAGCTTATTTATAACATATATGTGATATGTATATGACATATATATGGAGAAAGACTGAAAATGATTCTTTTATATACACATACATATACATATACACATGTATGTATGTATGTATTCATATAGAGAGAGTGATAGAAGCTGGAATCACTCTATACCACATGCGTGTTCTCTCTAGATATATATATATATATATATCATACATTTAGAAAGAAACTGGCAATCTCTGTAAATACATAGCATATATAGGTATATACATTTTAAGATATATGATATAAAGAGGAAAATTGGGGTATCTCTCTATATAAGCTATATGTTATACACAGGAGCTACATGTTATATACAGAGAGAAGTTAAAAATCTGTCCATCTCTATCTATCTATGTATCTGTCCACATATATCTATATCTATATGAGAATATTACATATTTACACACATATTTTTAGCTTTTCTCTTAAAAACTTCTTAATGTTATTATAATAGGGTAGGCTAAACTTCTTTCCCATAGTTACAAATTACAGTAAATAAAATCTAGCTATTTGCATTAGCTAGATGTAACACAGGGCATGGATTACATTTCAATACATTCATATACAATCATAATAAAAATCCATATCCACAAGCCCATTTTAATTTCTTTCCACAGAGCACAATTATTGTAAATATCAGGGAGGGAGCTACTGAACAGATGGGGCATTAGTGTCTTAATTCTTGATTTTTGTTCTAGTAAATCCTTCCGTTTCATATCCTTTTCCCAAATCCTGTGGCCATTCAGGGCATGATGCATCATGTTTTAAATGCTGTTTTAATGTTAGCATTACTTTTTGTTGTACAATTTTAAACAAATATTTGAATGTACAAGTCCAACAGGCTAATGAAACCACATTAGACTTCAAGTATTTTAAACCAGCCCTGCCATAATTATGCCAGAAGATGCTGAATCAACTCTAATTATTTCTTGGAACCAATAGATCTACTATTTTTTATGTCTGATAAGTAATCTCTCTAAATTGATTGTCTAACTCAGATCCTTTTTTTTGCTCCATGCTTCATACTTCATGCATTACAGATTGAATATCTATTTATTCCATTTACCTTGAAAAGAAAAGTAGATATAAATACATATTTCTACAGTTTAAAGTGAATTTATGGAGATAAGGTATACATCCACATATGCTTTAAGTTTACAAAAAAGATAATCACATCTTAAATGCCTTAGTCATAAAAATAGAGAATAAATGTTTCTCCATCATCCTGTGGCACGCAGCAATTTAAAACATCAAATCTAGAATAATGAAGAATTGAAGCACGTTGTGTTTTTTCACCTTCCTTAAGAAACCACAGGTTTCAAGCTCCTGAGTGAATCTACAGAGCTAATAATAACTTTAGAAAACCTTCCTCAGTTTGGAAATTTACTTATACTTTATCAATATTTTATTTAAAATTATTTTTGTCAGCCATAGGGCTGGAACTCAGGGCCTAGGTGCTGTCCCTGAGTTTTGTTGCTTAAGGCTAGCGCTCTGCCACTTTGAGCCACAGCACCACTTCCTGTTTTCTGTTAGTCAATTGGAGATAAGAGTCTCACACACCTCCCTGCCAGAGCTGGCTCGGAACCGTGATCCTCAGCTCTCAGCCTCATGAGTAGCTAGGATTATAGGCATGAGCCACAAGTGCTGGCTCTTTCTCAATACTTTAAAACAAATTCTTGCTCCTACCACCATTTTATTATTCTTTCCCTAACTCTGAATAAATACACATTTATTTGCTTGAGTTGATGGGCTTGATATTCGTGAGAAGGAGATTTCTGAATCTGGGTGACATTTGGGTTACCAGGAAACTGAAAGATGCCAACAGGGGTAGCATTGTATAGTTACTTATGTAGCTATTAAATAATCTCTGGTTCCCATATACAGACGGTAGGTTTTGGTGGATTTTCTGACATCCTATGGAGAGAACAACAGGGCGGTAGATGTATCCTGAGGGGAGTGTACGACTGTGGAGCAGGAGTGGCGTGTTTCCTTGTACTTGGCTATGTGAATCCACACGTCCTCTCTTCTTGGACTGGGTTTTATGTAAAATACTATGACTAAGGAATGGGTAGTGAGATTTACTTTTCCTCTTGGAACATCTTATCAGTAAGAATACAGCCCTAGGGATAAGGTGGTCTTAAAGAAGTAACTTGTCCCAGTAACTTGCCTGATGATTGGCGATTTTATGTGTCGGTGGTTTTTTTATGTACCATGTGGGTCCTGGGGTATAGGAACGTGCTATAAATAGTGCACGAAATGCTGGATGAAGAAGAAATTGATGGAGAGAAGAGACACAGGGAAATTTCCATTCATTAGATACCTTTTAGGTGTTGAACTGGACAGCTAAGCGATGAACATTTGCTTTCCCATGGAATGCCACAGGTAGAATACGAAGTGGTAGTACTACTCAGAAAAATGTCAGAAAATGAGAGAAGCTGAGGCTGTTACACCCGCACACGGGTAAGTGTGGAAGCAATCACTTCCATTCATGCTTAGCCACTTACTGTGTCACAATGAACTGAGTTTGCTTTCTACAAGAATCAGAAAAGCATTACATATTTGGGGAGCTCCACCATCATGGTCGGGATAAACAAACTCTCATTCCCATTGGAATGGGAAAACTTTTATGGGTCAAACAAGGAAGGGATTTTGCTTGTGTTTTTATTTTTATATTCATCATGTTTCTCAGTATGTGGAAAAGCCAAACTATGCTTCTAATCTTAAGTAATAATTTATCTGAGTTAACCAGATAATGAAAGTGTCTAGATTAACATAAAAAAAATATCCTACTTCGGGCTAGGAAGGTGGCTCAGTGGTAGAGCGCTTGCCTCGCATGCACGAGGCACTGGGTTTGATTCCTCAGCACCACATAAACAGAAAAAAGCTGGAAGTGGTGCTGTGGCTCAAGTGGTAGAGCGCTTGCCTTGAGCTGAAGAGCGGAGGGACAGTGCCCAGGCCCAGAGTTCAGGCCTCATGACCAACTAAAAAAAAAAAAGAAAGAAAAAAAGAAAATTCGATTTATTTATTATCTTTAAGTAGTCACACCTAGTCATTAGTCTATTCTTAAATCACAAGTATTTTTACTTTTTTCCCAATGAATCTATTACTTCAGTGTCAATTATAAAGGAATGACCATTTTTCAAATACAGTAGTTTAGTTCATGAAATAAGCTGGCTTGAATTATCTGGCTTGAATTATAACTATTGGAACTAGCAAACTAAATATTCATATGTATGTATGTATGTTCCACTACAACATGTACATGTGTCAATGTATTTGGTAACCGTGTTACACGGTATAGCAACATTTAGACATTCGTTCAATGCATGCATCTGAGCCATGCATTTTGTATTCTAGGTTCTGGCTGAAGCTTATTATTTTATTATTTCTTTATTTCTTTCCCTTAACCCAATTTTATTTTTGGGGGGGTCCAGTCATGGGGCCTGAACTCTGGGCCTGGGCGCTGTCCCTCAGCTCTTCAGCTCAAGGCTAGCGCTCTACCACTTGAGCCGCAGCACCACTTCCGTTTTTTTTCTTTTTCTTATGTGGTGCTGAGGAATCGAACCCAGGGCCTCATGCATGCAAGGCAAGCGCTCTACCACTGAGCCACCTTCCCAGCCCCCCAAATTATTTTTTAATGACACAAAACTGCACCCAATAGAGGAGAACACTCTTGCTATTTTTCCCCACTTGGTTCACATGTAGTTGGAGAAGTAAAAATATTTTTCTATTGAATAGAATCAGCACTGCTTCTTCAATTAGGTCAGGGCTTCCTGCCATTGAACATCGACAGGGGAAGCAGAATGTTCCAGACTGAGCACTAGATGCAGAGCTATTAGGCCTCCGCAGGATTTCTGGTCCCAGGTTTGACCTCAAATGCCTTCTGCCAAAATCTACTAATAGGAGGGTCTTGGCTCCCTGCTCCGTGGGAGAGGAGGGCAGTAAGAGGCGTGGGAGCTACTGGCGTGGGCCTGACCTCCCGCACGGGGCCGGCTGGACCATCACCATCCAGGAAGGCAAGGGAAGGGAGGACGAGCCGGGGATGGACATCCAGAGGCCTGCTTTGCGGGACCTGTCCCCGGTAGGGCCGGGGAGAGACCGGACCAGAGAGCCTCCGCCACCAGTCCCAACCTCGCTTCGCCAGGGAACAGCCAAGAGATGGCGGCCTCGAGGCCCCACGGTGAGGACTGGCGCCATCTCCCCATCTGTAACTGGCGCAATGACCGGTAACGGGGGTGGGGGGTGGGGGCAGGCTCTTTCCCACGTTGTTTCCATCATTAAATCATGATCGATCGTTCGGACCCGCCAACCACTTCGACAATGACTTCCTCAAGGCCACACACACCGAGGAGACAATATGTACATATACACACACATGCATACACACATGCATGCATACATATACACGGATGCACATATACACATCCACACATACATATGCATACACGGACGTGCATTCATACATATACACGCATGCATACATATACATGCATGCATACACACATGCACGCACATATGCATACACACGTGCATGCACACACACGCGCGTGCACACAAACATGAACACATACATATGCATACATGCACACACATGCATGCATACATATACATGCATACACTCACATGCATGCACATACATACACACGCACATGTGTGCATAGATGCACACACGCATACACACATGCACACATACATGCGCATACATGCATATACACATGCATGCATACATATATACAGATGCACATATACACATCCGCACATACATATGCATACACGCACATGCATGCATACATATACACACATGCATACACACATGCACACACATATGCATACACAGTGCATGCATACACACATGCATACACACATGCACACATACATACGCACACATGCACATACACACGCATGCATGCATATACACACATATGTACATGCATGCATACATGTACACATGCATACATACATGTGCGTGCATGCATGTGCGTGCATGCATACACACATGCATGCAAACATATGCAGGCATATACACACAGCCATACATATTTGTACACATTTACATACAGATGCATATATACATACAGATGCATACATATATACACACATACATGCATTTGTGTATACATATACACACATGCATACATGCATATGCATACACACACGCGCATGAATGCATACATATACAGGCATATGCACACATGCATACATATGCGTTCATACATACACATCTACGCACAGATACATACATATATACACGCATACATACGTTTGCGTGTACATATACACATGCGTCTATACACATACATATACATACCTATGTATACATGCATACACACATAAAACATGGTTTCAACGGCTGTGTGAGACACTATTACGAGACAATCAAAAGCACGGTACTTCCGCTCACCCGGGTCTGGGAATCTCCTCCTCCGGCCGCGCGTGTTCGCAGCCATCACACCCACCTGTCAGAGCGGCTCTGAGGGGCTGTGGGGACATCCGGGGACTTCCGCCTCCTGAGTCTTGGCCTGGCGCTGCCCGGGCGCCAGCAGCCGGCCTGCGCTCGCGCCTGCGCTCCGGGGGCGGGGGGGGGGGGGGCGGCCCGCGTGGTGTCCGAGACCCGCGTGCACAGGGGCTGCTCCGGATCCTCGTTGCCACCGGAAGTCCGTGCGTTGCCACGCTTGCGTCCAGACTGACGCCCCTGCGGGGCGGGGCGGCGGCACGCGGGACAGACCGGCGCGGTGGCCCGGATGTTCACTCGGGGTCCTCCCCCGTGAGCCATGGGGGCCACTGCCCGCGGGGACACCCCGGGACCTCCGCGGCCCGGGAGCGGGGCCGGGCCTGCGCCGTCCGGGCGCACGGCAGGGGACACGCGTGGGCCGTGCGGGTGCGCGCGCCCGGCCCGGAGCCCCGACGTGACCCAGGACCCCGACGTGACCCCCAGGCCCCAGAGCACCGGCGTGACCCCCAGGCCCTCAGCCCCGACGTGACCCCGGCCCCGCAGCCCCGACGTGACCCCCAGGCCCTCAGCCCCGACGTGACCCCGGCCCCGCAGCCCCGACGTGACCCAGGCCCCGCGACGTGACCCCGGCCCCGCAGCCCCGGCGTCGGCCGAGCGGGTGCTGAACGGACAGCGCTCCGCTCGAGTGAGGGCAGGTCACAGAGCGCGGGCGGAGGCTCACCGAGCCTGACCGGGGCCGGCGGGGGGAGGGGGGGGAAGAAAGGGAGGGAAAGGGGGGGGAGGAAGAAGAGAGACAAAGACCGAAGGGGAGAGAGGGAGGGAGGAGGAGAGAGAAGGACAGAAGGACAGAGGGAGAGGGCGGGGAGAGGGAGAGGGAGAGGGCGGGGCGGGGGCGGAGGGGAAGCAGGGGTGTCTGACATCCACGTTCCTCCCCGGCCCACCCACCCCACGTCGAGGGTCCGCGGCCGGGATCGGGGCCGGGAGTGGCCATGGGGAGGCAGACGTGACCTCCGGACCCAGACACGACTTAAGCAGCAAAGATCAGACAGACAGACAGACGGACGAACGGACGGATGGACGTCTCTTTGAGCCGGGCGCCAGGCGGGGGGTGGGGGGAGGGCTCCCGGTGGAGTAACGACGACGACCACCACCGCGACGACCTCGGTAATCATCACGACGGCGACGACGGCGACGGCGAGCCGAGTCCGAAGCGCGCGCTCCGGGATAACCGGCCCCGGGGGCCGCGGGACGCGCGCGCGTGCGCGAGGCCCGGACGGGGCGGGGGACGGCGCGCGCCCCGCACGTGCGCCCCGCGGCCTCCGGTGCGCGGCCCGGCCGGGGCACGGGCTGGGGTGGAGGGGGGAGCCGTCCGTGCACGGGCACGCGCCGGCCGGGCCTGGGATCCCGGGGCGCCCGCCCCCCCCCGCCGCGCCCCGCCCCGTCCCCGCCCCGCCCGCGGCCGAGCCGGGCGGGATCGGCGCGCGACGCGGGAGAGGAGGGGACCGGGGCCGGGGCCGCGCGGGGCGAGCGGCGGGCCCGGCGCTGGCGAGGGGCGGGCCGGCGCCCGCGCCCGCGCGGCGGGTGCCACCTTCCTTTCTAAAATAAAATCTGCCTGGCATGAAGTCACCGCCTATTCCACATCCGGTTGGCCCGGGGACGCTCTACTACTGTGGCGGGGCGCGGCGGGCCGGGCGCGCGGGGCCGCGGCGCGGGGCCGGGCGGGCGCACTCGCGGGCGAGCTCCTCACGCGCCGCGGCGGCCGTGACGATGGCCGGCGCCCAGTGACCGGCGGGGCGACGCGAGGCCGGGCGAGGCCGCCCCGGGGCCGGCGCTGCGCGGCTCTGCGCGGCTCTGCGCTCCGCTCCGCCCGGCGCGCGGGGACGCGGGCGCGCGGGACTCCGGGCTCGGCCGCCGCCGCCGCCGCCGCCGCCGCCCGCACTCGGCTCCGGCTGCTCTCCCCGCGATCCGGTGCCCGCCGCGGCCCCGAGGTAAGCGACGCCGGGCGCGGGCGGCGGGCGGGCGGGCAGGGAGCCGGGCGGGCAGCCGGCGAGGCGGGCGGCGGGCGGCTCTCGGGGCTCCACACTGCAGCCGCGGGGAGCTCGGATCCCTCTCTCCCTCTCTCTCCCTCTGTCTCTCTGTCTCTCTCCTCCTTTCTTAGGCACATTTGAATTCTTCCCACGGGGTGGGTGGTGACATGTTGTTTTGGTCTCTCTGTGTCTGTCTGTGTCTGTCTGTGTCTGTCTGCCTGTCTCTGTCTGTCTGTCCCCCCCCCCCCTCGGCCCGGGGTGAGCTGGGGAGGGGCGTGGGTCGGGGTGGGGGGGCATCGCCCGAAGTTGGGACGCGGCCCCGCGCTCGGGTCCCCGCGGCGCCGGGCGCCGTCCGTCTCGCCCCGCGGGGGTCCCCCCGCCGCCGTGAGCCCGTGAGCGCGGTCCCCGTGGCGGGGTCGCGGGGCCGGGCGGGCGCCGGGGCGGCGGGGGGCGCGCGGCGAGCCGGGCCGGCTTCCGACTCCCGCGTGGGGACTGGCGAGAAACTTTCCCACTGCGCGGCTCGGGCGGCGCGGCGGGTGCGGGTCCCGGTGCGGGTGCGGGCGCCGGCGCGCGGCGGGGTCCGTCCGAGGGTCCCTTGGGGAGCCCCCCCCCTATTGACGAAGAGCAGCCATGCGCGCCAGGCTGAGGGCAGCTCGGCCGGACCGACAGATGTCCGGGACCGACAGATGTCCGGGATTAGTGCCGGGCGAGGCGGGGCGGCCTCGCGGCGGCGGCGCGGGCCGGGTGGGTCGGGCCCTCCTCCCCCCCGCCGTCCCGCCCCGCGCCGTCCGCTCCGCTCCGCTCGGCCCCCGGGCCGCTCGTGCTTTCACCGGACGCGGACAGGGTGGGGTGGGGAGCGGCCCCCGGCGCCCGCGGGGGACCCCGGCGCGGGAGGACGCGGCCAGAGCCGGGCCGAGCCCCTGGGCGGGACGGGAGCCGTGAGCTGTCACTGTCCACGCCGGCCGCGGGCTCCCAACTTCCCTGCCCCCCCCCCCCGCCAGCCCCCTCCGCGGGCCAGAACCAGGCCAAAATCCAGCAACCGGACCGCGGTTGCTCGCACCTCAGCCCAGAGGCTCGGAGGCCCCTTCCGCCGCCCGCGAGTCCCCACCCGTGCCCGGGGCCCGGCGTCCAGCAGCCCCGTGTGCACGTGCGTGCCCGCTGGTGAGCACGCGCGCGGGCTCCGCGTGTCAGAGCGGTGCCCTCGGCCTGCTCCGACGCCGGCGCGGACGTGCAACAGTGTGTCTCGGCGTGCGGCCCGGCCCCGCGCCCCCGGCCCCCCGCGCCCACACCGGCTGCGGACGGTTGGCCCGGGCCCAGCGCGGACCCGGGCGGCCAGGGCGGAGGCCGCGACCTCGCGGGGACGCGGCGGGCAGGGCTCAGGCGCCCCGCCGCCGGGAGGCATGGCAGCGTGGCTTGGCGGCGGCGGCGGCGGCGGTTTCAAAGCGAGGCGCGGGAGAAGCGGGGCGCGCGCGGACCCTCGGTGGAGAAGCGGGGCGCGCGCGGACCCTCGGTGGAGAAGCGGGGCGCGGGGACCCTCGGTGGAGAAGCGGGGCGCGCGCGGACCCTCGGTGGAGAAGCGGGGCGCGCGCGGACCCTCGGTGGAGAAGCGGGGCGCGCGCGGACCCTCGGTGGAGAAGCGGGGCGGGCGCGGCGCCAGCGCGGCCGCCTCCCCACGCCGAGCACGCGCGGCCTCGGCCGCCAGTGCCCGGGGCCTGACGCGCCTCCCTCCACTTTTCAGCCGCCGAAGCCGGGGATGAAGAGCTGCCCGGGCCTCTCCGACCTGCTCTGGGCCTGGACCCTGCTTCTCAGCGCGCTCACGGGAAGAAGGTGGGACTCTTTACCTTACTTTACATTGGCGGGGCGCGGCGGCCGGGCCCTGGCCCCGCAAGCCACCAACGGGAAGGAATTAGCCGTGGGTGAATCCGTGACTAAGGGGAATTCAACCAACTCTAGGTCACAGCGCGAGGCATCACCTCCTCTCCACCCTAGAAGGCACTGGAACCAGCCCGGGCTGCCCCTCCGGTCGGTGCTGGTGTGCCACTGTCACCAAGGGAACCCGCTGTTCGCTAGTTTATGGGGCAAAGTTAACTTGGGTGAGCGTCCGCACGCCTCCCGTGCTGGAATCGTGTGGCAGTCGTGGAGAGCACTGAGCCGCAGGCGGAAAGTTTAAGCTATCACCTGCATAAGTGCATGTGTATGTCACACCTGCAAACCATCAATGACTGAAGCCATACGTGTGGGGTATATGAACCACGTATTTAGAAAACAGCTCTAGTTAAGCTACCCAGAAAAGTGAATGAGAAACAAAAAATGTGTAAGTTTAACCGCATTTGAAATAGTTCCTAATGATCTAATCAAGAATAGAAGAAAAAAAGCACTGGAATATGGTCCAAAAGGTGAACGACTCCCCTTCTTCTATTCAATATTTACTGTGTGGCCTATTTCGACAGTCCTTAAATTCAATCTGTCGATTGCACAGATGGCAAATCCCTCACATCCTTCCCCAGAAAAGGAAAGTAAACTCTTCAACTAAAGGTAGAGAGATGGAATAACCCGGAAAGATGTGGGCTTAAGAGGTTTTTTTTTAATTGAGAAGTTGTCTGTTGTTATTTTTAATATCATGCATGGTAAATCTGTAAGCAGCGGGTCATACATTAGTGTCTGGTACTCCTAATTCGAGGCGTTAAGTGGTCTTCAGTGCTTCTGAAAGACTGTATGAAGTGTTACGAATATAACGACCTGTAGGTGGAGGTAGTGATCAGCGTTTTATTATACCATGCTTCGTGTGGAATCAAAATCAGGTATTGCAACTGACATTTCTCTTCAAAATTTATATTCATTTTGGAACACTCTACACTGGCACGACTGTTGATTCCCAAATAAGTAATCTTGAGCTTTTTTCCCGAAGGTTCAGTGGCAATTACAATGTGACATGGTATATTAAAAATCCAAACGAGGAAGAATCTGATTCGGAAATCATATAAAAGAAAGGTTTCTTCCCGCATATGATGGAAGAGCTGTTTTTTTTGGGGGGCAGACGGGGCTAATTTTGAGCTTTTGTGTCAGAATGCCAATTGGCAAAAGCAACATCGAAACAACAAAATACAGAGAGAGACACATTACTTGGATTTTACATAAGTTGTGAAAAATAAAGGAGATGCAGGTGAAGGGAATAGGCACCCTGGACTCCAAGGATTGTGTGAATAATTTAGCAACTTTGTGTGTCACCCCAATTCACCTTTTCTCCCCTTCCCTTTCACATTGCTTTCTGCCTTTGGGTTCTCTTTTAGAAGTTCTCTACGGCTTAAGGTGTCTTAGCATTCCTCTTCCACCTTTATCAAGATGACCTTCCAATATCCTTCAAAAGTGCCTGCATGGCAGCTAGGTTTGTGACAATGAGTTTGTAGAAATAATCACATTCAGAAAACTATCTATTGCTTTACTGCTGTCATCTGCCAGGGAGATGTACTGGAAGTCACAGAACTAACTGAAAATCTGAGTTTTTGAAAAATAGCAAGATGTTCAATTTTAACAAAATGTGTGGCATTAATGTTGTTTAGGAGAATGAAAATTGCTTCATAGACATCCAGTCCACATAGTTAGTCATTCAAAACTTATTCAATGAAAACTTCATCTGAAAAATGATTACTGCATCTTGCCCATACAAAATTAGTTACTTGCACAACAGTAATTCTGAAATGATAATCGATTGTATTTCTTGCTCCCACCAAATAAGTGAATTCTGATTGAAAATGATACATTTTCTCCTGTACTTATCAACCATAGAAGCACACAAGAGGGAAGGAAAAAAGTGTGTTGAATAGAAAATGGAAAGTTACAGATAACGTGGCCCTTTCTTAGTTTACACCCTGCATACTTTAAATTCAAGGTCAGAGCTGTCATTGAAATCTGTCACCAAGAGTGATCCATCCTAAGATAGAAAACGCTTCCCTCAAAGGATTTTGGAAGTGTCACGCTAATCATTACATAAAATACCATTCCATGAGCAAAGATGTATTAAAGTTGATAGAGGAAACACACCATATTTGAATTATAGTCACTCTGAAGTTTGTAAATGAAAGACTAATAATGATAAGAGATATATGCGACAACCTCAAACAGAAATCTTTAGATATGAGTCATTTCATAATTTCTTTGTCTATAGAAGGATGGTAATGAAGTCTCACGCACAAGTTGGACAAACTTGAGTTCTACGTCATGCTTTGCCCACGAATGCTGTCTTACGACAAACTGTGCTACAGTTCAGTGGAGCATTAACTTAGCCTTTTTAAAAAACGACTATGCCTTCATCCAGAGAGGATGTACATTAACTGGAGATTTGAACAACTTTTTAAAATGGCATCATAACTCTGAAGGGGAAGGGGGACTTTTCACCTTGATTAAAATATAATGAACCTAAGAAATATGTTTTGAATGTTTCTTTCTTAAATATATCAAAACAACAACCAAAGCCCAGGGCCACAGAAAATGGATAAAGGGTTGTTAATAGGGAAAAGTTGAGGTTCTGCTACCTCTGAAATTAAAAAGCAAACTCATCTATTTTCAAAATTCCCTTCTGCCTTCTACATAGGTATTTTTAAAACTTTGGTCTCTGCTTGCACAGTGTTGACATTCTTGTTGATGCAGAGAAGACATACATCGCAACATAACGAACGCGTTGAGAACTGAGAAATTAGATCTCAGTCTGAGTAGAACTCATTTCCTATAACTTTCCTCCCATATTTAGAAGGAATAGAAAAAAAGAGCCTATCATGAATAAAGAGGATATGCTAATGGTTATAGTATGGATATTCTTTTAATTCTCCAGAAGGAATTTTCAAAGGCTCAATAGAAAAGAAAGCAGGGAAAATCTAAAAAAGGTTTTAACTGATCAGAGGTTTTGGTTGAAATGTATAATTGAGTCCTAGCTTCTCTTTATGCTTTTCTCAGCCATGAACAGCCCTCGTTACAAGATGAACTTAAAGACAACACCACTGTCTTCACCAGGATTTTGGACCGACTCTTAGATGGTTATGATAATCGCCTGAGACCAGGATTGGGGGGTAAGTCCTATTTTTGTTTTAGAGAAGAATACGAAGTCATTACGATTACAGCCTTGCTTTCCCTTAAATGGCAATGAGAAAAGTAGCAGAGTAGCATGTAGGTTAGTAATTACTCCTACTGTTAATAGTTTAATATGCATTCAATGTGCTGATATGTTGTGCACCTATTGAAACGTATTGAAAAACAGATACACAATTTTCACCATGATGCGCGAAGAGGCTACATTTACTTGCTTTCTCTCTAATAATTGTGATTGTGCGGGATGGGAAGGAGACGCCATTCTGGCTTCCAGACTATCAACTCTGCCATCTTCCTAGGGAACTGCTGTTTACACTGAATTCCAACAGGACATTTCTGATTCTATGGCTTCAAACGTTTATTTTAGTAGATTACGTATCGATCTACTATTTCCTGTTAAGTTATCCATTACCTCTAGGATCAAAAGTGAATGAGAGAGATGGCATTTGTGTGTGTGTGTGTGTGTGTGTGTGTGTGTGTGTGTGCGCGCGCGTGTGTGTGTTTTAAAGCATTTGAACTCACATTTCAGTTTTCTGTACTAAGATTTTTTTTCTTGGCATACCACTTAACTGGTTATATTGATAAGCTTCTGTTTGAGAAGAAAATAGAGCTTAATGTGTATACACATAACCACATTATTAAATATTTCCAGAAATTACACGCTAATTTGAATTATCCGTGGGTAAAATAACCAAACAATCTCATTTACTTAAAGATAATGAAGCCAAATCAAAATATCGATCTTAGAGGAAAAACCAGTACAGTGAGGAAGGAAGTCAGCATTCACAGTCCTGCAGGGGCCCTTCCGAAATAACACGGATGTGACATCGTCTCCAAGTTACTTGTTGAAACTATTTAATGTCAATAGTAAGAGAGCATTTTGATAGCACAGAAGCTTAAGAATGCAAACACTGGTTTTAAAACCAAAAGGTAGCAAGGATTTCAGATTAGTTATTTGCAGAGCTAGGGACTGGACCAGGGGCCCTGTGAAGCTCAGGAAACTCCACCACTGAGCCACATCCTCAGCTCTACAGTGATTTAAAAAAAAAGTGTTGCATCTTTAATCGTAGGCATGAAGCTGTAAAATTTCATTAGTGTCTCAGAGGCTTCAAAAATGTATCTTTAATCCTTAAAGGATAAGTGAGAAGTGTTTATTAAGGGGTCATCAATATTTTGCATGTATTTTATCGATCACTAGAAAACTAATTTTAATATGAGATGTATTTTTAAGACATTGATAAAAATAGAATCAGCTATCAAATTAGGAAATCATGGTAGTACAATTTCTGGCTAGTATAATTTAAAATTATCATAATTTTTTCCTTCATGAATACATCATTTAATTTCACTTCTCCTATACACTTCTGGTATTTTAAGGATGACATGGATTACAGTAACTTTCTATTGAAAAACAGACCTTTTATTTTTTGACATGACTGATTTGTTTTCAGATGAAAAGATTATGTAGATGAAAGTTCCTGAAAGATTGTACCTAGAGTCTAAGCAGGTAAAAGTCTCCTCTTAGTAAATCTGTGATCTAAGCTAGGTTACTTTCTTTTAAAAGAAAAAGACATCTGCTATATTCTTTGTTATGAGAAAAGTCCGATTTTATAAAAGGTAACAACCATGCAACAGACAAGGATATTTTATTCTGAATATCCTCAGAAAATAGAAAACTGTGATAAGCTGAAATTTGAGACTAATGTAAGAAATGTTTCCATGTGCAAATTCATCATGACTTGTTTGTGCAGAAACACATAATGCATCAGAAGGTATAAAATTTCTCTTTGGAGAAGCTTGGGTCCAGTAGCTAGAATGATAGAAGATATTGGGGGATAGTGTAACACTATTTGAAAAGTTTACTTTTGTTGTAGGACATAAAAATACAATACTTAGGAAGAATTCTTTTTTTCAAGATCAGAGTGGTAAAATAGAGTAGAGTATGTAGAGATCTAAGAGTCTAATATATTCTCCTCAGGAGCTAAAGGAGACAAACAAGCTAACCAGGTTCATATTTCAAATATGAAGTAAAGGAAAACTCTAAACAAACATGGATTGAAAGGATCAATAGCTAGAAAATACAAATTAAATAGTCAATAACTATTGAATGGAGTCTCACTTGTAAACGTTTTCGTGGTGAAGGAGAGAACTAGGGAGCTGAACGTGTTTTTGAGAAGCTTTCATCTGAGGCCTGGTCAATGTAGAAGAGTAACAGACTTGATAGGAGAAAGATAAAAGTCAGAAGAGGGGGAACACATGAAAGAAAGTTAAAGAAAAAGAGAGCAGAAGAACAGGACAGAAAAGACAGAAGATGAAGAGCTGAGCGGGGCAGAGGAGTCAGAGGACCGGGAGGAAGGGTGGAAAAGCAGAGGGGCAGAGGCCAAGGCTGAGCTGCTGGGTGGACCTCCAGGCTCGCTTGCGCAGGCAAGGCTGAGTTCATTTTCTCCAAGTTTTCTCCTCAGTGCTTGTGATTCTATCAGTGGTGTTGCAAAGAAAAAAAAAATCAAATAATGTTAAGCTTCACAGATGTGGGGCAAATGTGACGCGTGTTCATACTGGCTCTGTTCGCACTCTGAGGATGGAATAAATGCTCCACGGGCAGAGATGCAAAGCTGAGTCCCCAAGGAAGGCATCAAGCCTTCAAAAATAAGCAACATCTTCTTCTGGCCACACAATGTGACCATTGCAGTCTGATGAGTAGATAGAATAGCAATTCAGACAGAGAGTGGACTTGATCTCTGCTATATTCCTGTTAACTTAGGTCTTAGGTTGTTTACTAAAAACATTAAAAAAAAACTAGAAAACTGAGAGCGTGCCACAAAAACAATAATTTTTGTGATATTTTGTGTGAGTTTGTAAAACTTTACTGGAGGATACGTACATTTTATTGGCACATTTTAATTGTACAAAGTTTATTATAGCATTTCCGTGCAAGCGTAAAATGCTCGTTTTAAAATTCAAATTTGATCTAGCTGGAGTTTACAAGATGATTGATACTCTTAAAACTTTTATTATTAGTTTGCATCTCATGCGATACTGAGATCTGAAACAAAAACTGTATTCATATTTAACTAGTGTTACAACACATATTTTATATTTATATTACAAACAGGATTTCAAAAATAGACACAAGATGTGTCATAATATGGCACTGTTAAATAAAATAAAAAGACTCTGCTGACAATGTATCTGAAAGTCAAAAAGGTTCAGCTTATGCAAATCTCTTCTTGCTGTTACCTTCACCAGAAAATGGTCTTTGTTATGAAATCTTCAGTTAAAATCTTGGAATCTTTCCTTTTGAGCATGATATTGTTTTGCTGTGTTTTAATGCAAGGTGTGGAGATGCTCAGATTTGGCAAATTCAACCTACTTCTTTAAACACAGAAATACTGTGCTTAAGTAATCTGTAACTCAGCTGAGTTTCAGAGAAAAAAGTTACCAAAGGGAACTGCTAAATGAGCAGGAGAGCCACTTAGCAATTCCTGCAGTCGGCTCATGAGTCCAGCTTGTCTAACAGATTCACTGACGTAGCCAAAGGAATGTTCTAGCTTGTTTATAAAACTGTACTCTCACCTTGCCTCTTGTGTATAAACCATCTCTATCTGATCAATGCCAAGCACTTCTTGAAATATTAGAAAGCTGCTGAGGCTATACTCAACTCACAGAGGCCAGTGTTATAAAAAAAAAAAAAAGTTGCATTTGATTTCTGTTACTACTTGATCTTTTTTTGTTTAATAGGTTTTACCAGTGTAGGACCTTTAGAAAATGTTTTCTGTTGAAAATTGCTTATTTATGGCAGAAGGTGAATTGTAATATTTGAAAAATGTCATGGGTCTGAGATGTGAATCTTGATGAGATCATCACAGATGTTTTTGTTTTGTTTTTGTTTTTGAAAAACTTAATAGGAAGAAAAGAGGTCCTGGGGAGAGAATATACAAGATTGCTATATATAATTGTCACGTAACTAAAATGCTGCACCAGGAAATACAAGGTCTCCTATTTCTAGAGCCCAAACCAAACCCCTTCCTCCAAGGGTCCTCTGCTGGTAGAAAACACTCCTTTACAAGGAGGGAAGAAGAGGGTGATTTCTTGGTGAAAATGGGATAAATGCCTACTCCAACAAACCTGACTTTTCCTACTCAGAGCTAACTTGCATCATCTGACTTGTTGGAATCCCCAAATACAGAAGAGTCGCAGATTGATTTGATGTCCTGAAACTTGGCTGTCTACTCTTGATCTACTCATTAGCTAACTATAGGCAAAATTAAATAGCTCCACATAAAAACCAGAGGGGAGGCTTTATAAGGACAGAAATGAGTGACAGACAAGGGGCAGAGATGTTGCTTCGGCGGTGGGCACAGCGGGAACATGGCTGCGGGGAGGTGCCACTGAGCTGGAGTTGGTGAGGAAGCCAGGGTGCTCTGCAGTCCCAAACAGCACTATGTGAAAGCAGCATCTTGAAATGCATGTGGTTGCCAGGGGTGACTAAGACATGTCCACGCAGCCTCCATGCCCCGCGCCTCTGTGTGGACAGACAGACCAACGTCCAGCAAGACGTCTCCAGTCACCCCCTCTCGGTCTCTTTTAGGACGGCCATGTTTACCACTCACTCTGCACAGCAGCATCAGCTACCTTCCTAAGCCGCAGGGCGCATCCTGTCACTTCTGTACCCAAAGGCTTCCTCTGGCATTAGGAAGGTCAGCTGCTTTCCAAATAAACGCCTCTTCAGCCAACACTGCCTCCAGACAGTGATCGCTAGAAGCCCCAGCTCTGGATAGGCTGGGCTCTTTCTTAAAACCCAAGTTTATTCTCACCTCAGGTCCTTTGTCTTGTTTGTTTCTGGTCTTTTCTTAGACCTAGCCATCATTGAAATTTTGTTATTGTTCAACTCAAATGTCAGCATTCAAAAGACATTCTTTCAGAGCATGTAGAAAGAGCTGAATTTCACTAGGAAAATTTGTGTACATAGCTAGATACATACTTAATCTATCATCTATCTACTTGTATGTCTGTTTATCTATCTATTTATCTATCTATGTCTCTATGTATCTATCTATGTATCTATCACCTATGTATGTATCTATCTATCTATCTATCTTCCTTCCTACCTACCTACCTACCTACCTACCTACGTACTTATCTACCTTCCTAATCAATCTAAAATGTTTTCCCTATAAACAGCTGTGAGCAATATAAAGGAACAGGAATTTCTGCATTGTGGTCAATGCCCGTTCTTTCTAGTCTTCTCTGGAGCTGGGCCTACCTGGCATATAGAAAATACCAAGTGAACATTTAGAGGCTAAATTAACAACCCCCCCAAAATACTTCTGGAAGTACCTTCACACTGTAATCTCTTGCTGCACCCCAACACTGCATTCCATTTTGTAGGCATTATTTCTTCATTCAAACTGTGAGCAACTGGCGTCACAAAGATTATATGATTGTACCTAAAATAATACATCTTATACTCAAGGACAATCTGAGTCAAAACTGGAACACTGCGTCTTCTAAGCCAACGTGCTCACTTCTGACTTTATTACACTGCAACTCTTGTTTGTATTTCCTATACTAGTCATCTTCTTGAATGATCACTTCAAAACATCTATTATTTCAATAGTTATTAGCAGGATATTAGCACTGTAGCTTTATAAAGGGAAAACATATCAATTGGGAGTCCGAATATATAATACAATATTTGTAGTATATTGTTTATAGATAAACTTAAAAAAATTGATTTTCAGTCATAGGGCCTGAACTCAAGGCCTGAGTGCTGTCCCTCAGCTCTTTAGCTCAAGCCTAGCGCTCTACCACTTGAGCCACAGCACCACTTCCAGCTTTTTCTGCTTATGTGGTACTCAGGAATCGAACCCAGGGCCTCATGCCTGCAAGGCAAACACTCTACCACTGAGCCACCTTCCCAGCCTTATAGATAAACTTTTGTAAGGGCTGCAAGTATTGGTGACATAGTCAGTGCTAGTTCTATAAGCACACACCAGAGTGCAAACTCTATTACTTGATTTCCTAAATTTATGCTGGAAAAAATGCTTTTTATAACAACACAACGCATTACATTGACCTCAAGCTTACTCTACAGTTTTTTTTTCCTAAAATGTTTTATTAGAGTAAGATCCCTGATTAATTTTGGGAAATGCACAGGTAACTAAGGTTGACTACATTTACATAAAATGTTTCCAGAAATATGGAATAAGCAGGGTTTTCAGGTTAGGGAAACATTCACTAGACATTCCTCGTAACAGCTGATGATAAATCAAAGCTAGTTATTTCAGTATGTGGCAAGAGAAATGGGTTAGAAGGGAAACAATAGGGAAAGTTGGGTCTTCCTCCTCTTCCGTTGCCATCCGTCAATAACTGGTGGTATGTGGAATTTTACTTGCTTCTGACCCCTCCCCTTATTCATTTATTTACCAATTTGTTGTTTTTATTGTAAAGGTGATATGCAGAGGGGTTACAGTGATGTGAATCAGGTATTGAGCACATTTCTTTTTGAACAGTGTCACCTCTTTTTTTCTAGTAGTTTTTCCCTCCCTTCTCCCCCTTCCCCCCAGGTCGTAGAGTTCATTTTCAACCAAGTGTCTCGTGAGTGTATCACTGCTGCATTTGTCCTACCATTTCTGTTTTTCCCCTTATCCTTCCCCAAACAGGTAAACTTACATACAAGACAGATGGTACAGATATCAAAAACAGCTACAAAGAAGAAAAATAAAAACAAACCAAAACAAAACAAAAAGTAAATAACAAAAACCTCTTGTTCCCTTGCTTGGAGTTCATTGTGATAAACATCGTTTTATAGTTTCATATGGTCAGATGCTCACAGCTATTGAGCCCTTGTGATCCTCTCCTAAGAATGTCTTCCTTTGGTCTCACTGTGTGAATGTTTAGAGTCCTGTTTACCATGTTCATGTCTGTGTGTAATTTTTTTGTCTTTTGCCATCCATTGGTTTTCTTGTAGATTTACAGGCACATTCTGATTACGAATGAGAGGACAATGCGACCTATGTCTCTTTGGGTATGGCTTACTTGGTTTAATATGATTTTTTTCCCCAAGTCTTTCCATTTCCTTACACCCCTTCCCTTTACTCTTCATGGTTAACTAGTCTTTTTGGTCTTTATCAGCCTCCTCCAGTTTTGTAACATGGAGTCTTTTGTTAGAATAGAAAGCAAATATATCTATCTATCTATCTATATGTATGTAGAGCATAGTCAGAAGCTGTAATGATATATGCATGTGCATGTGTGGCTCTAAGGTCATGTAGGGACACATGATATGGTGCTCACCCCTCTCCTGCCAGTTCAGGTTATTTGCATTGGAATCTTGCAGTGGCAAATTTCAGAGAATCTCGAGAGTATGGCTGGGAATAAAGTAAGATGAAGTATCTGCAGATGGTAAACTTGTATGGTAAATAAGTTTATAGCCAAAGATAGATAAAATAGGAAAAAAAATAGACTTGAAAAATGTAGGCCCAGTCATTTATGTAAATTGCTTTCCATTTATGCCTAATCTCTGTATGGCACAGAGACAATTATGCACAGAAATAAATGTATCTAAACTTAACTTTGTTTTACATTGTTTGATTGGTGGTAAAATCTTTAGAAAAAGCCATTTAGGTAATTTAAAATTTGATTCTTATGTAGTTCCCTATTAGCAATCTACAACTTAATGGGTGGAAAATCATGCCGCTATTTAGTGAGTTGATCTCTCTCTTCTTCATGATGCTGTATCGTACAAAATAACACAAACTAGTGGCTCCTAACTCACGGAGTGAGTCATTCTGGAAAGCTGTCTGTCTGGAGGATTTCTCTGAATATTCAGCATATATTCTGCCACACTCAAGAGACAGGTATTGATGAGAAATCTCCAGGAGGGCAGAATCAAGCTGCCCAAAGTGGGCATGTGTGTGATCAGGATTATCATTCCCCCAATTTAAAAAAAAGTCATGTGCAGTGATATTTGACTCTAATCCCTGTCTGGGGAGACTTAGGGACTAATATAATTTTAGTTCCTATAATCTATAGGATATAAATGATACATCATAGAGAACTCAAACTGAGCCTTGCACTATGAGGTTAATGAAGGAATACTGTTAAAAGCACAATAAGAAGCGTTTGGTTTGATCAAGACTTACATGTTGGAAGATAAATTAGGTATGAATTCTTCTGACCATAGTTAAAGCAGAAGTTAAATTGCAGGGAATTTATGTATAACTATGTATAAATATGAAGCAGCAGACTTATTCCAATAAGGGGGATATTTGGTATGAAATAATTTAGATTCAACATATGCCCATAGCTCTCATATCTGTTGTGTTTTTTGTTTGTTTTTGGTCCTTTTCATGATGATAAGTGTATATCTTATTATCTCAAAGAAAATCCAAGTGATGGCTTTATTGCGTCATATAGAAATGAAATGCCAAAAGAGAAGGAGAAAATCAACTTTATCTTGTATATGTAGTTTTTGTGAGTAAGTGACATAGCCTTGTATTTTTTCCCGATTGTTTTAAAATTAAAAAGTGGTCCTGATATTCTAGTTAAATGCCAGCCTAGTACAAAAGAATGCATGGGCCTAGAGAGAGGGGGCTAGCACAGAGGGATCCATGTTGGAGGAATCTAGAAGGGACTAGAGCGGGAACCCTCACGGAAGATGGAAGAGAGGTTGAGATGGATGGCTAACAGCTCTGCCGTCAAAGGATTTTATTGCTCGTGGATAGAACTGTGTTTATAATATCCTATCCCGGGCCAGAGAAGCAAATGTACAGAGTTTCTGGACTGTTAGTTCTCGGAGCTAAGGTGAAAATGACATGGCCACCGTTCTCACTGTCACCCTTCCACCAATTGTTCCCTTTTATGTAATCAACATTTTTCTCTTTCTTGATGAGGGACTGTATTTCTGTGAAAGCGTCCCTGTTGAGTTGTCACAGAACTACAGTAAAAGTGTTTTATTGGTTATATATGCCATCAGAGGCCAATAATAAAAACACATGGAACGTGCAACAGAATCTATGCCACAATAGGTCTGCCTTATCTTCTAAATTAAAAATACTTACCTTTGTTGTCCAATATTTCCCCCGGGGTGAATTTGGATAATTTAGTTAAACTTTACTACAAGAAAGCCATCATTTCTAAAACATACTTTTGAGGTCTTCAAGAGTTAATAAAGCTTGCAAAAGTCGACTATAGAATTCCCAAGAGCAGTCTATGTGTGCCTGAGGAATCTGCGTAAAAATATTTAAAGTGTATTACCCTGCTAACATATTTTTATTACTACATAAAGTGATTTGGTAACATTCAAGCAAGAGTGTCCGTCCCTTCTTGAAGAATTCATTCACGTACCCAAGGCGGTACGTGTGCAGCCTCTTTTCTCCACTGAAAATGTTAACTGTGAAATTTCCAACGTAAGCAGTAAATTATCAGGACTATTCAGTGGACCAGTTTTAGAAGTAGCTAATCAAAGCCAATGAATTTCCCATTCGGGTGTGAGGGTGTGGTGTGAGATCTAATGAGGGACTTGCGAAAAACTCACTGGCCCAATTTCCTGCTCCATCAGAGCGCGTGACCGAAGTGAAGACGGACATTTTCGTCACCAGCTTCGGACCTGTTTCCGACCATGATATGGTAAGTGATGGCCGCTTTAGTTCTTTTGGGTTTGTTTTTACATTGAAGTGGTGAGAGGAAAATATAGACTGAATATTTATGGAATCGTTTGTGTATGGAGCAATCTGTGAAGGCTTGGTTGTGTCTCTTGTTTCTGCATGTCTAGTATCTATTCTAGAGTAGAATGTATCTGTGAGTGGGGTGTGCGTGTGTGTATGCCATTTGCTTCCCAGATAAATCAACCCTTCTTCTCTGTCCTTTAAATGCCTTGGTTTCCATCCTACAGGGCATGCAACGCCAGGACTTAGGAGGCTAAGTTGATGCAAAGGTGTTAAGTTTACAGAGAACAGGACAGCCACTAATTCTGTGGTCTCTGAATGATTATTTTTGCCATAAAGGAGAAATGGCTATTGAAGTTGAGGGAGCACTTGAGCAGCATGAGAGAAACAGGTATGGAAAACCCTCGGATAGGAAAGGTTCTGCTTCATTGCAAAAAGTGCATCAAATTATGACCAGAAGTGGGAATAAAATTATATATATGACATATTTGATATATATGCATATATATTTCATGTTTTTTCCCCTAAGGCAACTAAGTCAACATGAATTTGCAGTCTACCAGATGGGAGTTGATAAATCAGTAGAACTCTGCAGATACTTTATGTTTCTGAATTTGTAATGGTCAAACGACTATAAGTGAAATGTCATAAAGAAGCCATGAAGACATTCCACTATGAATACTTCACAGCTACATCAATTGAACGTGTTTTTTTTTTTTTAATGCTCTTATGTTAGCAGTTAGTCAAAAAGTCTTAGAAGGTAGTTCAGAGTGACTCACAATAAAAGCTGCAGAATCATTCTGGCTAAAAGCCAAAGTCAAACTGTCATGTCTGGCTTCCGTTGAGCTCAGAACCATGCACCATTGGCCCTAGGCTAGTTGTTTTTGAACTCTGGGCCTGGGCACTGTCCCTCAGCTCTTCAGCTCAAGGCAAGCACTGTACTGCTTGAGCCACAGGGCCACTTCCGATTTTCTAGTGGTTTATTGGAGATCAGAGTCTCATGGACTTTTCTGCCCGGGTTGGCTTTGAACCATGATCCTCATATCTCAGCTTCCTGAGTAGCCAGGATTACAGGTGTGAGCCACCTGCACCCAGCAGCCCTCATTAGTTTGCCATAGGAACTGCCTGCTTTCTCTAAGGTAGCAACACCGGCTGCAGGATTACAGGCTGTGGGATCTTGGGCAAATCCAATGCATTTCCAACATTCTCTCAAATGATTATGATGGTTGCCTGTGCCAGTAGGATTGTTAGGAATTTAAATGAGATATGTAAATCAAGAGTCTATCAATAGTCTTCAATAAAAATGAGCTGTTATTGCTTTTATCTCAGTTGTCTCTGATTCCCCATCTTCTTCATGGAAATTTCCTCTCTGTATTCATCTAAAACCTTTAGTTTTACAAAGGCCCACATTGAGACCCAAATGCCTTGTAAAACCACTTTTTGATAACTATAGTAATAAACTAACATTGCCTTTTACTTTCTAATCACATTTATTGACCATAAGATACATTTAGGCTTTTGGCTACATACCCAGTAGCATTTGATCATTATTTTTCTTATCTCAGATCAATGCCAAAAAATTGAAAATAATGTCATCTCACAAATTTCATAGTATTAGTGCACTTCTGGCTTAGGTTGAATATTGAATTATGTACTTGATGACAAGTGTAGGAGCCTGTATTGTTAAAACAACAACAACAACAGCAACACTGAAGTCTTATTGAGGGCCTGAATAAATCAAACCTTCATTTCTGAGTTTTGAGCCTTTTGAGAAAGAATAGAATAAAGGTCTTGGGAAATCAAAATATCATGTTTTCTCTAACAGTTTGACCTCCCTCTCTGGCATGTGGTATGGTGCCTCACAAAACAGAGCAATCGATATTTTCGGAAACTGTAAGAAGGAAGCCACCTGTGATTAAAACATTAGCTCCTCATCAGGTGTGGTAGCTCATGCTTACCATCCTAGCAGCTTGGAGGCTGAGATCAAGAGGATCACAGTTTGAGGCTATATCTAGCAAAAAATTCACACGAGCCCACCCCTGTTCTCAACAACAACAAAGCCATGTGTGCTAGATAACAGGTCTGTAATGGTCAGTGTCCAGGACAGTTTGGGCAAGAAGCAAGATTCTCTCTCAAAACCAACCAGAGCTAAGAGGACTGGAGGCATGGCTCAAACTTGCCTGACTAGTAAGCATGAAGCCCTGAGTTCAAACACCAGTGCTGTCAAATTTTTCTCTTCCCTTGAAGAGCGTTTGTCTCAGATTCATTGAGATTTCAGGATCTATTAGATTATTATTTTATTTTATTTTTGGGTCTGGTCATGGAGCCTGAACTCTGGGCCTGGGCACTGTCCCTCAGCTCTTCAGCTCAAGGCTAGCACTCTACCACTTGAGCGACAGTGCCACATCCGGCTTTTTTTTTCTGCTTATGTGGTGCTGGGGAATCGAACCCAGGGCCTCATGCATGCAAGGCAAACGCTCTACCACTGAGCCACCTTCCTGGCCCTCCATTAGATTATTTTGTCTTAGAAAGAGAGTTAGGATCTGTCATGCACCTTAACCCATGGGTATCCTCATAACTGACGTTCTGTGTGCAGTGTGATCTAGTACTAGACGAGTGTAACAGTGTCCACGCCTGTACCACGCTCACAGCCTGACACTCCTGAAACAGACAGGACTTGAGTTATTCTCCCAAGGGATCAAATGAGGCGTTGGCCTGCAATGGATGAGCTAAGTGGCAAGGGAAATTGTCCCTGATCACCTCCCCATGCTATAGAAGATGAATCAGTTAAACCACGTTATGATGGGAGGGTCATGTTTAAAGGGGGAGGGGCAGTGTGATTTAGAGGTGATCGAAATCAAAATGATAAAGCTATGCATTTCAAAAATGAGAAAAAGTATTATCATTTTGAATGTGAGAATAAAATACCTAATTAATAAAAATCAGTAACAGTGTCTACCACAACTGAATCTATAATGTAAGACACCATGATAGAACTCTGTAAACCATACTCACAAGCCCTCATTGGAAGCCTCTCAGCCAAGCATAATTCTCATCCACTCTTGCCAAAACAGAGTGACCCATTGGTGAATCGTACCAACTGTAGCCCGGGCCTTCCTCCCCTCTGCCCCCCCCCCCCGACTCCCGGGCCCCAGGGCCTCCTACTTCATCTGGAATAGGACACAAAACGAGGCCAGCTCCTTCAGTTTATTTTAAAAACCATTAATTGGCTATCAAACAGCAAATTCCCAGGGCACTAGGTTGTGACAGAAATATCCAGACAGCTCCGTGATCGGCCCTGTTTTCTAGAGTGCTTAAAACGTGTTCAGTCCAGGCACGTACAGATGGCGGTGCAAGGTGGAGTGAGAACACTTCAGAATGAGATTGATTTAGGAACATAAGGATGCGCTGTCACGAATCTTCACAAGAAGGCTCACGTTGGCCAAGGACCTGCACTAGGAGGCAGAGTAGCTCTGAGAGCCTTGCCCCTGGGCTGGGGACGGGAACTCGGAAATCTACCATATACTTTAGCAGAATGTTCTAGTTGCTCAGGCTCTCTTTCAAAAAGTCCCGTGTTTTAGGAGGCTTTGCTTCTCCACTTACTTCAGGGTTTTCCTGCCCTGCAGCTTTTCTAAAGAAACAACCACTCTTTGCTTTCCGCTGCATACAAATCTTTGTTGACAAAATGATAAAGTGAGAGATAACTAATGGACTGTAAAATTTCCGGCGCGCTTCCTGTGTTCTAGGAATCCGTACAGCCGTTCTCCAGTATGAACCTGCTTCTAGTTACAGTCAGGTTGATGCTCTCTATTTCATAGGTTAGGAAACAGCGTTAGCGAGAAGGTGGCGAGTACCTGAGGTGTCTGTTCTTGAGAATCTCTGTCCATAGTCACCGATGACCCTGGTGTCTGACTCCTCTTCCAACTCCATGAAAGAGGGGTCTGGCCCGCCTTGGCCCAGATACCAATTCTGTTGTTAATCTACTGAACAATGCACACTGCCTCCTGGGGCAAGGTCATGCTCTGGCCAGGGCCACCAAGGCCACCTAATTGCTAAGGCGGTCACACAAGGACAGTTTTCACAGCATGTGGGGGGGAGATAATTACCCTCTTGCCCAGCATTGGTGGCTCACACCTGTAACCCTAGTTACTCAGGAGGCTGAGATCCGAGGATTGCAGTTCAAAGCCAGCCTGGGCAGGAAAGTCCATGACACTCTTGTCTCCAATGAACCACCAGAAAACCAGAAGAGGTGTTGTGGCTCAAAATGGTAGAGCACTTCCCTTGAACAAAAGAAGCTCAGGGACAGAGCCCAAGCCCTGAGTTTAAGCCCTACAACTGACCCTCCCCTCAAATATATGTCTATATCTAGTTCTATCTATATCTATAATATAGATATGTATTTACACTTTCAGTTAGGCTGAGACCGACCCTCAATTGTGTCATTCAACTTTTATTTCTGCTTTGAACAGAGGGAAAATTAGAAAGAAATTTACTTCATAGTGTTGTTGTTGTGTGTGTGTGTGTGTGTGTAGACACAGGAACAGAGGAAGAGAGGGAGAGAGACAGGCTACTGAAGCATTTGAGGAAAGAATGTCTGAAATGAATTTGAGAATTTCATTGTGCGCCAGTAGCCGAGTCAAGCCGGGCTGATGTCAACACACTAAACCTGTATTTATTAGGACTCTCATTAAGTCCTAATTTTGTAATGGAATCATTGTCTTTGAGATATGTTTTGCCAAAGAGTTGATAATAAAAATCTATTTTAAGCTTATTTTATATTCAAATTATGTTATTAGCAACCCAGATTCCTGGAAGAAGCAGACAAAGGAGACAATAGTTTAGATCTGTAGGGGTCTGGTCAGCTTGAACACCTTTGCAATCTTAATTTATAAGTGGCCATTTTCCTGTACTTCGGAGCAGACTGACTGGCTCAGTTGGAGAGCAGATAAAATGCGTCACACATCATCTCCCACAAATCTAGCTCTTGTTCAGAGGAAGAGAAAATGCAGGGTCCAGACTAGATCTATCCACCTGCTTCCCTGACAGACCAGCACTGTCACATCCCATCCCTTGGCCATGCAGTCCCTACTCCACCTCCCACTCCTCTCCTCCAAGGAAATACTCTTCCAAGCTCATCACATCCACCATGAGTGCATCTGACAGCACTCAGGGCTAAACAGTTTCTCTCTCTGCTGAATTTAATGATGCTTAGCAAATGTTTGCCGTGTGTAAATTCTGGTCATGGATCATGGTGACTTTCACCTGCCAACTCCAGACAGAAAATCCTAAGAAATGAGGCAGCTTGCATGGCCTACATCAACGGAATGGCATCAGGCGGTTTCTTGGTATCTCAGTAATGAGCATGATGACTGGCACGTTGCAAACTATTCACGAACAATGTGGTTTCCTCCACAAGTTAAGGAGTTCAGCCAGAGGATAGTGCTTCATTCAGTCCTTACCCAATCTTTCTTAATTCCCCTGAAGAGGCAGGTAGTGAAATTCATACACACAAGGCCTGAACACTTGACACTAGTTCTGTCCTGAAGAAGGTATGTTTAAGATTAAGAATAACCCACAAAACCAGCTGCTTTCGGATGCACCAGAGTTTAGAGGATTCAAATCACATGGCGTGATGTTTTCAAGTTAGTGTTCCTTCTGGTTTGGAGCCTTTGGAGATGAATGAATGTGGTCATCTTTATTCTAAACCACTGAGCTCCAAACTTAATGCCAGGAGACAGGCATTGCAAGGAGGAGTACTACTCTTTCATTCTTAGGCGCTGGTAAGTCACGTTGGTTATTTTCAGATTGGCAGGTGCTATCTGTGGCTCCTGCCATAAGGAATGCTGTGTTTATTCAAATAAATGGCTGTGAATGATGATGAAGCTCACACATTTCTCATGGGACTTAGCTAACACAATCACACATATACACACACCCCATAAACATGCCCACATGGGCCCATTCTGAATTCCTCTTCTTTCCCCTCCTCTCTCTCCCCACCCCTCTCCCCTTCCCTTCTCCTCTCGTTCCTCTCTTCTCCCTACCCTCCCCTCCTATTCCCCTCAACTCCCATGCTCTCTGGAAGGAATCCTAATTACCAGTGGATATTGATATCTTATTTTCATAATCTTCTCTGTGTAGGAGGATTGGAAGTCTATATACATTATCTGTGAAAAAAATGTTTACTTAGCCAAAAAAGGAGATGAGATTTTTTATACCTACTTTAAACCTATGATTGCCTAGGATTTGGTTGTTAATTTCGGGCGGAGCCCCCACAGAACACTCTGCTTTACTTTTATGACTGGGATTACCTAATTGAAGGGTTTTCTTGATCATGCTGCCTTCTAACATGACTTTTCTTTTCATTGCATTGCATTTTGTGTCTTCTAGTGCTGCAGTGTGGTAGGTTAACTTCATCTGACATACACAACAAGGTGAACATTGGGGATGTTTTTTTTTAATCCAATAAATATATCAGGGATTACATGTTACTTCTTTCCTGGGGTGGTGCTGGGGTTTTGAACTCCATTCCTAGGCAGACATACTATCCCTTCAGCCACACCCCACCCTATGGTCTGTAAGAAGGAGCCAGTGTGCCCACGCCACCGCGGTTTCCTTCTGGAAATACCATCTAACCTCTATTCTGCTTCCGGCATGACGACAGCCGCTCTCTTTGCAAGCTACTGGCCTTGCAGGATAGGACACCGTGTCCTCTTTTCCGTTTCCCCAAACCGCCCAGGAGTATACAATAGACGTGTTTTTCCGGCAAAGCTGGAAGGATGAGCGGCTGAAGTTTAAAGGACCCATGACAGTGCTCCGCCTGAACAACCTCATGGCCAGCAAGATCTGGACCCCGGACACCTTCTTCCACAACGGGAAGAAGTCTGTGGCGCACAACATGACCATGCCCAACAAGCTGCTGCGGATCACCGAGGATGGGACCTTGCTCTACACCATGAGGTGGGGGGCGTGGCCGTGTGCCAGGGGGCGTGGCCTGCATCAAGGGGAGGGTGTGGCCATGCACGGCGGGGGCGTGGCCAGCACCTGGGGCGTGGCCTGTATCTAGGTGGGGGCCTGTATCTAGGTGGGGAGGGTATCGGCTGCATCAAGGGGAGGGTGTGGCCTGGACCGTGGGGCGTGGCCTGCACCAGAGGTGAGGGGCGTGGCCTGCACCCCGGGGGAGGGCGCTGCCGAGCTCCGCCGGGTGCCAGGGCGAGGCTGGAACCTCCAGGTCCTATGGAGAAGATGACTACAAATTGCTTTGTAGTCATGTGAGATCAGACACGTTGCGTGAAACACTGAATACTTCTCTTTTCAAAGCCGTGACCGCGGCTGGGGAGGTGGCTCCGGGGCAGAGCGCTCGCCGGAGCGGAAGAGCTGGGGACAGCGCGCAGGCCGGGGTTCAGGCCCAGGCGCGCACGCGGGCCTCGCAGGCGGACCTCTTCCCCCCGCGTCCGCGGTGGGGTGGGGGGAGGCCCCCCACGCCTCGGCCCGCACGCGCGCCCCGCTTCGACGCCCCTGGGGACAGGCCTCAGCCCGGAGGTGGCCGCCAGCTGCGGGTTCGCGTCTGACTTCTCCTGACCCGTGTGTGTCCTGCCCTAGGCTGACCGTGCGAGCCGAGTGCCCCATGCACCTGGAGGACTTCCCCATGGACGCCCACGCCTGCCCGCTCAAGTTCGGAAGCTGTGAGTGACCCCCCCCCCCGTGCTCCCTGCAGAGACTTGGGGGGGGCGGGTCTGACCCGGCCCGGCCCCTGGGCTGCGGGGCCTGGGCGCTGGGCTGCGGGGCCTGGGCGCTGGGCTGCGGGGCCTGGGCGCTGGGCTGCGGGGCCTGGGCGCTGGGCTGCGGGGCCTGGCCCCTGGGCGCTCCTCGGGTCCTCGGCCTGGGCGCTGGGCGCTCCTCGGGTCCTCGGCCTGGGCGCTGGGCGCTCCTCGGGTCCTTGGGCCTGGCCCCTGGGCGCTGGGCTGCGGGGCCTGGGCGCTGGGCGCTCCTCGGGTCCTCGGCCTGGCCCCTGGGCGCTGGGCGCTCCTCGGGTCCTCGGCCTGGCCCCTGGGCGCTGGGCTGTCCCGGCAACCACTGACAGGCCCTGGGGCCGCCATGGCCGGGTCTCTGTTTGAGTTCCCGCTTACCCCTCCTCCTGGCTGACGGGTTTGGCCTGAAGTTACCTAACCCGAGTGCCAGATGAAAGGTCTTCAGAAGCAGCATAGAACAAGAGAGAAAGGGCTCTCCATAGTGGAGGTTCTTGTTAGAAAGTTCTAGATCATCGGGATTCCCCCTGACGGTCCCCTACCGGATTGGTCCGCGTGCAGTCCCCCGGGGAGGGGCCCGCGGGGTCCGGGCCTCTCACGACAGCCCAGCGGTGGTGCAGGAAGGCAGCGCGGCCATGGAGGAACGGCTGCGGCCTAGGACACATGCGCTTTACATCGGGGTCACTTTTGTGTCCCCCGAACACTGGCTCCCTTTCCTGCAGGGGAGGTTATGTTGATATTTAATATCAACTATTAAATGGTATGTGTTTGAGTGCCTCAGGAAGGTGACACAGTTGTTAGGATTTATTTCACTAGTAAGAGTGGCTGTTTACATGTGATAAACGTTTCATATTTTATATGTAGTTTATATTTTCATATAAGGTGGATGGAGGGAAGTGATGGGTGGTGGGCTGCTCGTTTTGACTTCTGAAATGCCAGCCATGGCACCTTCTTTTCAAGAAGCGGATGAAACATTGGTGGAAAATAAAAGAGTACCTTTATCAGAAAAGATAAAAGCTCATGCTAAAATCCTAACAGGCTTCTCCTCATATCCCATTAATTAAATGTGTGTCACGTTGCCAATGTTATTTGAGAAGGAGGTTGGGAAGAAAAATATTTTTATCTGGGTACACTTGCAACCTGAATAATTTTGGAGATAATTTTAGGAAGAAAGAAATGGATTGTGCGTGGAAAACAACTAGTGAATCACACAGGAAAACTGGAGGTAAAGAAAAGCACCTAAGCAGCTATCTGCCTCAGTGCCTTTGCACGGGATCTTTGCTCTGCCGGCATTAACTCTACCCTTGACAGCTGGACAGGCCTACCACCATTCTTATCTAAACATAAATATCCCCAGGGCCTTCTTTGGCTATGTCGTAGACATTTGGCGACAGTCCTATCGATCTCAGCCTGCTTGATTCAAGAGCACATTAATTTCAGGCTGCTTCTCAAAGTGTTATTACTTTTATTCATTGGTTAGTGCATTTAGTTTCTGACGCATGCCACTTTTGTGAGAGCAGGGCCCCCGGAACGCATTTCCTAATGCAGAGCTCAACGCGACGATTTCTGGCACTACCTGCTGATTGTACAAAGATCGTACTCATCGGCCTGCAGATGCGTCTTCAGGGCTCAGGCTGTGGAGAAGAGGGGTGTGAGGTGTGGGCAAATCCAGCTAAGAAACTTGGCTTTCCCCGCAGACCCGGCCTGGAGAGAGGAGGGGAGCTCGGCCTGGATGCTCAACCCTTGCTCCACTGTGGCGGGATTAGCCTGTTCAGCCAAATGCAAATTGGTGGGACTTGGTTTCTGGAGCAAAGACCTTGCTAAAATGTCAGCAAGGAGGATGCACCAGAGGGGCTCAGGAAGGGAGAGAACGCTTCCCCGTGGACGGTGAAGAGAGGGGCTCCTTTCCACACGCCCCCCCGCTCCCCCAGGATCAGAGCCAGGGAAGCAGAGAGCAAGACAACCACAGTTTAGGGTCAGCCCAGGAAGGAGCTGGTGAAGGATGCCCGTAGTTCCATCTGCCCAGGGGGCCCAGACAGGAGGAGCCCCAGAGCAACACCAGATCCTGCCTGAGAAGTGAGTGGAGCAAAGAAGAGCTGGTGGCATGATTCAGGTGGTAGAGCCTCTGCCTACCTGTCAGAGACCTGAGTCCAAGGCCTAGAATGTACTGCCAATACAGACTAAATAAGGAATAAACGAGAGACTCGGGTGCTGGATTCTGATGTTAAGATCCAGGCAAATGTCGGGTTTGGAAGCTCTTCGTAATTGTCTGCTTCTTATCTGACCGGTTATGAGGCATGGTGCCTTGTAGACAAAAGAGAGAATGAATAGAAACTTAGATGAATTCTGGCAAATACATAGCTTCAGACATGATTTAGCTCAGCTGCCTCCTGCAGATGGGAAATCGGAGGCCGACAATAGAGAAGCGATAATACCAATTACACTCTGCTATTCCAATACTCAAGCTACCATTCCAGTATTGTACCACCACCGAGTCCTGGAGTAACCCTGGCCAGATCATCGTATCTCCATCATGTTTCCTTAGGTAATGCGACTGGGAAACAGAGTTCGAAATCTATGACTAAGTAGTTTTAGACTATTTTAATTATATCTTCCTTTCCTTAGGCTTAAGACATCTCAGCCCAGCATGGTGGCTCATGCCTGTAATTCCAGCTACTCAAGAGAGTTGTTGTTCAAAATCAGGCAAAAAGTTAGAGAGACCCCATCTCAGCCAAGCACGGCGGGGCATCTCTGTCATCCTACCTCTACAGGAAGCACAGATGAAAGCATAAATAGTTGAGAGTGACCCGTGTTGAAACCTGAGACCTTGCTTGAAACCAGTGAAGGCAAAAGGGACTGGGCAATGGCTTAGGCTGCCTAGCAAGCAGAAGGCCCTGAGTTCAAACCCCAGTAAAACTGAAATAAAGTAAATTTCCATAGGAAATATTTCTAGATACTGGAATCTGAGGAATCCGTAGGATCTATTAGTCTTAGGCCTTGAGGTTATGACGTCTCTACTGCAAATCGTCTGCGTTGGCCATCTGAGTGCATTCTTTGCTAGTAAGAAGTGACCGGCACCCCCAATGAGTTGTCACAGCTGCTCTGTGGCGGATGTCCTGAGGACCTGCATGTGAAGAATGCCACAGCTCTATGGAATGAGAAACCAGGGGTGCCAGGCTCCGTGGCTCTCTACAATCGGCTCTGGCCATGGCTGCTAACAGCTAATCCATTTGTGGACTGCCTCATCGCTAACGCCCTGAACACCGACTATACTTGCCTGGCTTATGAGCATCGAATACACAGTGTCTGCCTCAAAAATCTTACAAATGACAGTGGAGTAGAATGCATGACCTGTTACCCCATTGTTACCCCAGTTTTCCCACTAGTCATTCAGTGCTCTGTGCCTCAGTTTACCATCTGTGAAAGGTGAGGACACTGTGTAAACTGAAGTCAGTCCATACTGAGTTTCTTCTACTCAGTGTGTCTTCTTAAGAATTCAATTAGAAAAAAAAAAAGGTTTTGGCTACATGTAGGGATTTTGAAGTCCATAATAATGCAATCTTTCTCAAACTAGTGTGTTCTGTGCTCCTCTGAGAGACTTAAAAGATCCTAGTTTATACTCTTCTCACATGATATGCAAAAGCTGACACATTTCACTCTTTAGGCCAATAAAGGCAACAGCGAAAGAGTTGAAGAGTCAATACGAACACATTCCAAAATATCTGTTTGTCACCTTCATCCCTCTCAGGAACTACTAAATTATATTCTTTCAGACTCCTTGGAAAAATTTGTGTTAGAGATATTTGATTATCAACCGATCTATATATGATGTCAGAGCAGATAGGATTCCTACAGAAAAACACAGAGCGTTGATGACGTTTTTTTCTCTCACATCAACTTGAAGAAGAGATCTCTTGAATAAAAAACTCTGTCTCAGATATGAAATAATATTATTTTCCAGGCAGCTTCATGGTTTTACATTGCATAGTATTCCAGCTTAGATGAAGACGGATCAGGACACAGCCCCCAAGCCTGGTCTCTGGGAACGGTGGGGGAAGAGCCATGAGGAGCCATTCCTCCAAAACAAAATTCAAGTTATATGCAATGATTATGTCAGAATAAACAGGAATATAGTCCAGATTAGAATGTATCCACTTTATTTTCCCATTTAAAATGGATTAAAACATCTTCAGGCCCTGGGGACTGTGTCCACTAAGGAAAGAACTGGCCACTGGCCAATGAGTGGAGCTTTGGCCAACTTTGGCTTTCATGCCCTCATGCCCTGGAAATAGCTTATTTTCTCTACTGTAATATTCCTTATTACTTCAATATCCCTTTGTATTTGACCAGAGAAGAGCAAGTAGTATTTCCACTTATGGGAAGCACAGGTTCTTTTTTTTTTTTTGTCAGTTGTGGGGCTTGAACTCTGGGCCTGGGCGCTGTCCCTGCACTCTTCAGCTCAGGGCAAGCGCTCTACTGCTTGAGCCACAGCGCCACTTCCGTTTTTTTCCTAGTGTTTTTTTTTTTTTTTTTTTAATTGGTGATAAGAGTCTCACGGACTTTCCTGCCTGGCTGGCTTTGAACTGCGATCCTCAGATCTCAGCCTCCTGAGTAGCTAGGATGACAGGCGTGAGCCACGGGCGCCCAGCAGCACAGGTTCTCTAAGTGGGAATCCCAAGTCTAGGACTTCTCCTCCTCCCTGTTGCTGTTCTGTTACTGTCCCACTCCAGTCTTTGTGGATATCAGATGTGTGACCAAACCTCTCACAGGAAATGGTTAGACTGAAGGTGACCTACCGTCATCACCACCATCTGCACAAGGAAAAGCATCACCAAGAAACAAGGGGCAGACTCGGCAACAGTATTTCTAGAATTACTTTTCACATTGATCCTAACTTGCTCCTGGCTTGATGTACTGTGGATCCAAGCTACGGACCTTGTTCTGTTCTCTCTCCTGCCTTTCAATCTGAAAAGGTTTTCCTCTAATGCACTGGCTTTTTCTTACAAGAGAAGAAACATTTGCTTTCCTTTTAAAAAGTTATCTGCCATTTAATGAAACAGTTAATGAACATCAGTCCCTTACAACACCCTTTCCCTAAGCTCTTCCCCATCATGCTGATCAGACACTTGTATCGACATCAGCTCCTGTGAGACCCCCTCCCCCCATGTCAATCACCTGACTTGAAATGGTTCCCCAGTCAGTCTCTGACCCTTTCCCTAGGTGTGTATGGTTTTAATGTATATCCTCTAAGACCAGCAACCTTGTTTTCGTGCATTACTGTATGCCTAGCACAGAACTGGGTCCATCGTAGATACTTAACGATCATCTGTTGGGCAAATGAGCAAATGGCTGAAAGGAGAAACAAGTGTTTTGGTATTCCCAAGAGAATGAGCACAGGTGTTCCTCTCCTAGCCTGGGCCCTGAAACCAGGAGATTGCAAATAGGAAGCTGATAAAACACACTAACCAGTTAGGAGAACCAATGAGGCGAAAATGCATTGATAGTGCCCATCCTCTCCTTTTAGACGCTTATACAAGAGCAGAAGTGGTCTACGAGTGGACGAGAGAGCCGGCTCGATCCGTGGTGGTGGCAGAAGATGGGTCCCGCCTAAACCAGTATGACCTTCTTGGACAGACCGTAGACTCTGGCATTGTTCAGTCGAGCACAGGTAAGTGCCGTTGGCCTTTCATGACTCTTGTAGGAATCTCTTCCAGATCACCCCATTATTGTCATGAACTAATGAATCTTGGCGAGCCTTTCACAATGATTGGTACAGTCAGACATTCAAACATCAGCTGCTGTACAAATCCATTTATACGTCTACCCCTGGAGCTCCTCAGGCTAAAGCCACTGGAGATGTAGCCACAACGCTGGTCACCCAGGTCAAACAGTGGCAGTGCCACCCTCTCTGACAGGGGTCACTGATGTCCTTGTGATATCCTCTAGTTGCATTAGATACTATTAAAAAGCTGAACCTAAGCAGGGTCCTGGTGGTTCACACCTGTCATCCTCACTGCTCAGGAGGCTGAGATCTGAGGATCATGGTTCAAAGCCTGCCCAGATAGGAAAGTTCCCACGAGACTCTTATTTCCACTTAACCAGTCAAAAATGGAAACTGGAGCTGTGGCTCAAAGTGCTTGAGCACTAGCCTTGAGCAAAATTGTTCAGGGACAGTGCCCAGGCCCTGAGTTCAAGCCCAAAGCCTGATCCAAAAAAAAAAAAAAAAAAAAGCTGGGCCTGAATTTTTGAAGTTCCTTCAAACAATGAGGTTAGCAACATCCTAACTGTCTTAAATCTGATTATGGGACCTGATAATTATAAATAAAAGCTGACTTTTTAACAATTAGGTAAACTTCCATTCCCCGTACATAAACTTCCATTCCCCGTAAATATTTTAAAACATTCAATTCCTGAAATACTTTCAAGGGCCAACAAATTATTTTCACAGGTGTCTTAGAAAACTGGAATTTATGTCATTTACTTTGATTTGTGATTTGTTTAAAAAAGACAATTTAGTAGTGTTTAAGGATAGTGATATTAATATTCTCATAAAAGTTATTTTAAATATTAGATTTTTATCTTGGGACATGCACAATCACTACACATTTCATTTTTTTTTCATTATCTCTTACCATGATTGTTGAGTAAGTACTGCTTTAAGAACCCACAGTTATCTTAGAAGTTCAAAAATATTCCTATCTCTTGGTTTTGAAAATGGGAAACACTGTTGCATTAAAGATGAGCTTGTAGCCAGGCACGTGGCTCAGTAGTAGAGAAGTTGCTTCATGTCCAAGGCTTTGGGTTTGATCCCCAGCAGAGGAAGAAACACAAGAAGGAAGGGAGGGAGGGAGGGGGACTGGGAGGGAAAGAAGGAAGGGATAGTATAAAATGATGCAGAATGTTCCATAGTGGCTAACTTGAAATGGCATACAGAGCTATGAAAATACCCCAAGGTGGAAAATGTTAAACATTTGTCTTTCTTACAGTCTGTTGTGTTGTAACAGATACTAAAATAAGCAATGTTTATTTCTTAAACATGGATGCTATTATAAGCTGGATATGATGACAGGCCCTAGAGAATCACTGCTAGAGAAGGCACAGACCTTGCTCTCTCGGAATGTGGACTCTCTGAGCAGACAGCACGTAGACTGCAATTATGGAAATGGGTGGCAAGTGCTGTGATTAACCCTTCGGGCGAGGTCAGGGGCCATGCCTGTCTTCAGTATCCCTGTGATTTCCCGTGGCAGCGGGTACACCAGAGGCCCTGTTAATGAACATCTGGAGATAACCTAGATAATTGAAGGAGGCCTGCTTCAGGAGCTGGCTTTTCACTTTTCCCGTCTGCATGTGCTGGGGGACAGAGTACCAGAGTATCAGATGCAGCAGGTTTCCATGCATTGGTATCAGGGTGGAGGCTGGAGGGTGACGAGACCAGCAGGAGCAGCGTGCAATAGTAGGACAATCGGGAAGGCTGGAGGAGGACGGCCTTCCCTCCAGTTCCAGTCCTGAGAACCTTGACCACGTCACCAGAGCCCTCCATGGCCCCTCGTTCCCATGTCTGTAAACAACTTGAGACGTACTTCACCTATTGCTCCCTAAGGATTCAAACTACCTACTTTGTAGGTAGAAAATATCTCACTGTTTCTTCCAGAAGTCTAGAGAATAATGGAGGAAGAGAGCCCATGAAAATGGTTAGATAAAAGGCCTCTGTGTTCACCTGAACTTCTCCCAGGGACAGCAGTCTCCACAAATGAACTGCTTCCTACTTGCCACCATCAACACACAGTGAACACAGAATCGTGCGGATCCTAGCATCGTCTTTGGGTTTTACAAATCCAGAGTGCACACACTGAAGAGGCATGCCCTTCTCCCACAGCTAAAAATGAGCTTGATGGAATCTTATGGAACAGGAGCAAAACCAGGATGGAAACGGCAGAGTGGTGAATTCTCACCAGGTTTCCAAATCAACCCGATTCTCAATTACTCATCCACTTATCAACTTGTTTCTTCTGCCATTTGATCATTTTCTATGTAAAACACAGTGACTTCACCCAGATAAGAGAGATGGAAGACACCGGCCCTTCGGGCAGGAAGTGAGTGAGGCAAGGAACTAATATTGGCATTCTTCTATTCTACTACCTTCACAGAGTAGTTCTAGAATTGTAAAATTATCACTATCCTCATTTTATAGGCTGAATATCTGTCTGCACCCCAAGGATGTTTGGTCAGTTTCAAGGTCACACGGGTACAAAGAAGGAAAGGTAGAATTAGATCTAGGGCTGTGGGGCTGTAGAGTGAGTGCTGTTTGTTACACAGCATACATGACTGCTAGACAGGACTTTGAAACATTCATCCTCTCCAAGTGTACCACCGCCAGGATCCAAATGCTGGCTATATCTCTTATGGATTCTGTGAGTTTCAGAAATGTGTTCATTTTTCTCTTCACCTCTTCCTGTATATCTAACTCATAAACTGCTGTGAGATTCAAGTGGGAAAACGTGTATCTGCTGCTTAGAGGTTTCTGGTGTGTAAACACTCTGGAATGTTTCTATTAGTGATGGTGGGGCTGGGGCCAGGGAACTTCATGTTGCTGTAGAGGAGGATGAGGTGTGACTGGAACTAGATCCCAGCTGAGACCCCCAGGCCCCTCCCATCCCATCCTGTGACGCTCACTAAGCATTTCTTTAAGGAGAATCGCTGACAAAGTCACCATGGTGACCACAGATCACACACGATGACTTAGGCAGAAAAGTAAAGCAAATGAAATTAGCGTTAGGCATAGAAATCACAAGCGTGTTGAAAAGCCGACGAGACTGGATGCACAAGCAGTGTTTAAACAGATGCAGTGATGACCCCAAGTTCCTCATATTTGCCAAGTTAAAGCTGATCTAGGTTAGTTGAGGAAATAAGATGTACCTTCGGAGCGACTTTCATCATTCCTCAGAACAGAAGACTAAGAAACTATGGGTCCTTTTTTCTCAGATACCCCTGCTTTTCTGGATGATATGATTAAGGTTGACCTTGCTAAGGTCAAAGTACTGAGGAAAGTAACTGACTCCTTTTGACCACAGAGCCTCAGTGATCATCAACACTCCTCAAAGAGTCAGAGGCGCTCATTTATAAAGCCCAGTACACGATTTCTACAAAACTAATTATAAACATAGAATGCGAGACCTAAAAAGAAAAAAGAGAGAAAGAGAAAAGGTGCTCTCTGGTTACCTGGTCAATTCTTTTCTATTTCAAATCAGGAAATAGCTCGAGGTTAAGTGGACTACCACTGGTCCTGAAATACTACCACCAATGTCTGAAATACGTTAATACAGCACTTCTTTTCAAATGGTCTTATCTGTAGGAAATACTGAATTTAAACAACTTGGAAGGAATATTATAGCATTTTGTGGACTCAGCATGCAATAACACTTTATTTAGTGGCTGAGTGGTTGATTTCCCGAGCTGGTCAGAGTGTATATATCTGTTGTTCTATCTTTTAATTAGTAACCTGAGTAAGAGGGGAACCAGATTTTAAAAAAAAATTACTTTCACATTTTCCTCAAAGCATCCTGGAAAATAGTTCGGCTAAATACTTTTCTATTAATTGGACAAATCAGCAAAGCAAAATCATTTGAATTATTTATCTTCTAGTAACTAACATTTGGGAAAGTGAATATTATGAGGCAGATCTAACCCCACATTACTGACAGATTTTGCCACATTACATCCCTTTTTCCATTCTTCTACTCTCATTTATTTTATATTGTAATAGATCAGAAATACTGTTACATCTAATTTACCCAGTTCCCCTGGGGCTCGATGATATGTAGAAGGATATTTGCAAGTCTTCAAGACTGTTGAATTAGAGAAAAAGCATTTCACATGCTTAGAGCATAAGCATTTGGTGTCTAGACTCTCAATCCAATTTTGTTGTCGTGTTTTCGTTTTATTTTTAAATTATTACAACTTGATTCAGACGTTGCTGTCCTTTCTTTCCCTCACTTAAAATTTTAGTGCCAACCCTCCTTAAATTTCACTTAATTTAAGGAGATGTTTCCAAATATTACAAATCCTCCTATGCTTTCCACAATCTGTAAGGGAAATAACTTGTTTATAAAACAAACATAATGTCAAATAGTGGCTCCTTAGATCTCTAAAACACCCTCTTCTTTTCAGACTCTCAGCAAAAAAATGCCACACCGCACACAACAAACAATAATTAGACCTGTGTAGGTACTCATCTTCCTGGCATTATAGGAAAGACGGATTTTTTTTTTTGCTTTGAGATGGTGACATTTTGCTGGGCACCCGGAACAACTGGTCAGGAATAATAACGCGCACCCTGTGGTGCTGAGAGCCAGGAGGGGTTTGTCCTCACAGGAATGTATTTTAGCTGAGCTTTTGGAAGACTGGCTTTCTGAGTTTTGTTTTCATCTTTGGATCACTCCTTTCTCTTTTATTTGACCTTTAAGGCATCACCAAAGGCATATAGACAATATAGAAAATTAATTAGCTCGCGTTTGGCTTATTCTTCAAATGCAGATAGTCATGGATTTCGTTTTGTGTGACCATTTCATCACAGACAGGTGTGGCTTCGGAGGACGTGTGGGGTCACGCTGTATCTGAAGAACTGCTTCTCTCTTTCAGTTTGGTAGGATGGGCATAAACATACAGATAACTAAAATAAAACATACGAGACACTATGGTACATATAAACAACAGCTATAAATTAAGCTGAAAGAATTTAGGAGACGCTTGGCAAATAGCAGGTGTTGTCATTAGTAATCATTACTACTGAGAGAGCAGGAATGAATGCGCGGATGATTCTCTCCTGTAAACAGTCAATGCATTTCTCCTGCCAATACATTTACCAATGTGGAAGAAGAGTGGGGAAAACGGAGGAGTGAAGGGCACTCGTTACTTAAGGCTGTGCCACGCGAGCAACCAGCTGCCAGATGGCTGCTTTTCTTTCCTTTTCTCTGTAATTTTTCTCCTTTGGGTTGGTGCTATAGATCTAACTCGGCTCTTTGCAGAGCTGGCCCTGTCTGTCTGATCAAGGCTGGTCCTCTAACACTGGATCACTACCTCCAGCCTGGTATTTTTGCTAGTTAATTAGGAGATGGAGTTTCTCAGGCTTTTCTACCCTGGCTGGCTTCAAATCAAGAGCTTCTGATCTCAGTCTTCTGAGTGGCTAGGATTACAGGCATGAGCCACCAGTACCTAGCTACAGAGTGAGATTTGTAAAGAGGCTCTGTTTATGGGGATCAAGGGGGTACTAAGTAGTGGGAGTCATCTTATAGGGGTTGAAGTCAGGTGTCCAGAGGTCTGTACAAAGGTGTAAACTACACAGGGGAAGTTCAAAGGAGAAAAAAAATGAGGGAAAAAGAAACCCTTGTAAATAGAATGAAGCTTTCTAATGCAGAACACATCTACTTCTCTCCACCCACAGAGAGCTAAGCTTATCTTCTCGGTGACTCAGGACAAGAAGTTCTAGGATTTGTAATTGGAAAAAAAATGTAACATGAAGAAACACAAACCATTCTTGCAGTTTGGGTGGTGTATCTGCTGTTCCTGGCCTCTAAATAAAGCCAGGGTCTGAAGCGGAGAAAGACCATGGGGGCGCTGAGGCTGCCAGGCTGGGCAGGAGTGCTGGATCAAGAGCCGTCACAGGCCGTGACGGAGCTCAGTGGCAGGGCGCTCCCCTGGAGGGTGTGAAGCTTTGGGTTCGATCCCCAGTACTGAGAAAAGAAATACATCCAGTATACTTACAGATTTTTTTTTCTGGCAACTTAAGAAATGGGTTGTAAATCTAGGTGGGAGCCGAAGAACTCATGCTGCTAGGATGCTCTGGGAAAGGAAACTTGGAAACACGTGTTCCTTCTGCTCCTTGCTTTGGATTTCAGGCCATCTAAATTACTCATTCTAGATCCAAAAAAGTATTAGAACTAAAATGTGCCTGTCCTGACTTGCCTACGAAAGCACCTTCAACAAACACCCTGAGCCAGTTCTGCATGTTCATCCTGGATGTCTGCTCTTTTGGATTTTTTATTTTTTTGGTGCTGGTACTGGGGCTTGAACTCAGAGTCTGGGTACTGTCCTTCAGCTCTACTACGTGAGCCATAGTGCCACTTTGGCTATTTTTGAGTGGTTTATTGGAGATTAGAGTCTCATGGACTTTTCTGCCTGAGCTGGCTTCAAACCTCGATCCTCAGAGCGCAGGATTACAGGCGTGAGCCACCAATGCCTGGTTCTATTCTATGTATATATTAATATATGTAACCAAATCTGGCACATTAAATCCTTAAAGCCAATCTGCAAACAGACAATCAGATTTTTCCCCTAGACATCTCGTGTAGCAACGTGAGGGGGTTTGAGTATCTGCGAGGTTTCTGGAAACTCAATTTCATGCTCATAGTGATTTGAATGTCTAATAAAAGTGCTTCTTTTCTCTCTTGTTCAAAAGTCTTTATCTCCAGTGACTGGATGTCACATAGAGAAGGGACTGTGCTGCAAATGGAAAAACCTCAGTAACAATTTGCTTTCCAAGTTCAAACTGTTCAACTTTCCATCTGTCTCACCCTCCAGGAGAATATGTTGTTATGACGACTCACTTCCACTTGAAGAGGAAGATTGGCTATTTTGTGATTCAAACCTACTTGCCGTGCATCATGACGGTCATCCTCTCACAAGTCTCCTTCTGGCTCAACAGAGAGTCGGTGCCAGCGAGGACTGTCTTTGGTAAGTGTCATGCAGCAAGGGTCTAGAGGGCACTGAACACCACGTGTGCCATATGGCAAAGAGATTGAAGCAATCTCTTGGATTTGCTCTGACGTTACTCTGAAGGCAAGGGTCCAAGAATTGTTGTCATTCCTATTATAGTTTGGACAATACTGTTTTGGTAGTTAAAATCATTCTCTCTCTCTCTCTCTCTCTCTCCCTCTCTCTCTCTCTCTCTCTTTATCTATCTATCTATCTATCTATCTGTCTGTCTGTCTGTCTGTCTGTCTGTCTGTCTGTCTGTCTGTCTAGCCATTTCAGAGAGTTGGATGGACTGCATTGATGACATTTGATCTGATTTTTAAGTACTTTTGCTTTTGTGTAGGGGAGCAGGTTTAAAAGACATTCAAACAAATACACTGGGAATAGTTCATCTATCAGTACCCTTTGAAAAGACTCTCAGAAGACAGCCATAAAGTACATCCCTCCTCATATAAAATTCCTGTTTCTAAACAAAAACAGAACCAAAGCCCTCATGTTTCCTTCAAGAGGGAGAGCTCATGACTGACCGTGACCATAGAAGGCTGTCTGCTTCACCTAACACATACACTACTGAAGAATTACAAAGATGCATGTTATCCTATGAAAACCTTTTAAGTGACCCAAATCATTGAAGTAATCTGATGAAGAATTATTTACAGGGCAAGCAACCTTTCTCTTTTTTTAAAAATTATAAACATTTTTATTGTGAAAATACTGTACAGAGGGGTTACAATTACATGGGCAAGATAATGAGTACATTTCTTATCAAGCATTGTAACCTCCTCCTTTATTTCCCATCCCTTCCCACCCTTCCGCCCCCCCCCCCCCTGCTGCCCCACCACCAAAGTTGGCAACCTTTCTCTAATGGGAAAACTGCCCTCCTGGTGTTGTGTTTCAGAGTTTACATTTGATACAGTTTATGTTTGATCCAGTATCCTATTTCAATTGTAGTTATCAGATTGATGAAAGTATTTCACTATATTTATTCATTCAATCCGTTTTTATTTGAAACCTACTATGATGCTATATGCTAGGAACAAAATGCAATGTCAAATTGAACACAGACCGCTCTTCTCATTGGGGTAAATTCTAGAACTTGATATTGGAAAAATGATAAAAATCATAGAGGCTAGTTGCAGTGTGCTTTTACACTGGGCACTGCTCAATATAATTAACCTATCTTCTGTCACTTAACCCTAACACGGCCCTACCTGTTATAAATACGATCATGTTACTTTCAGAAACGTGAAACCAGAGGAACACTACACTAAGTAGCCTGAGGGCCAGAAGCTCTGAGGGGGGCGGTGGGGCGTGAGGACAGGACACAGGCACTTAACCCCAGAGTTGGTGCCCTGGGCTGATACTTGTAATTACCTCCACGCCATCCCACTGCGATGACAACATCTACGCCATTCCTTGAAACGTAATAATCACATGTTCACCCGCGAAAGACACGATGGCCAAGGTTTACTCTACAGATGCAGTGATAGCCCTGCTGTGCTGAAGACACTGTGGTCTGAAGGAGAGCGCGCGACAGGCCTCCCTCCAGATGTGCCACCACCAGTACCCTGAAAGGTTTCTTATCTCAAACAGGACAGAGCTTCCAGCTCTGCGCACTGTCCCTGACAGCAGACTTGTTACAGACACAGACCAGGTCCAGTTCTAGAGCAAAAGAAAAGTTCATTTCAAACTCATTTCTCTTTATAATGGATATCAAGATGAATAAGTATTGAGATCCCCAGAGCCTGATCTTTTGGTAAGATTCTCACGTGTGTGTGTGTGTGTGTGTGCGCGTGTGTTGTGTATCCCATTAACTTAGGAGGAAATTAAATCTAAATCAGGACACATGGATGAGTTTTGAATGTGTTTTGCTTTCTTTTATTGTTGATGAGTAAGGCCATCACTTGAGTGGAAAAGATTCTTTTAGGTGCTATCTTTTCTCCTTCTCTCTCCAGCAGACGCTACCCTTTCTACTTGGGAATTGTCCGAGGCATTTTAAAATGTTTTATATATCAAAAACATTGCTCTTAACATTTCCAGTGACTGTATATCTCAATCGACTCCTGCCCTTTTGAGAACAGAACTATATATGTGTAAATTCAGCTGGGCCAAGTATTTCTGTGTAACACGTTATATGTTTCCAGTGTTTAAGTTCAATCAGATCACAAATACAACTTTCCTAGACCTTTAGCCTTCTAACATTTATTTAATACACATATTTCTATTCTTTTTAGCCTGAACTTAGCACATTACTCTGAGCTTTATATGTGCCTGAGTAGATCTCCAGTACTTAGAATACGAAAAAAAGGAAAAACAAACTAACAAGAGTTATCTTTTATAAGCTAATTTTCAAAAGAAGAATCTAGAATGCAACAGGCTGATGGCTTCTTCATAAAAGGTCGTCCTCGTGGCTTTCCACACTCTTTTACTTGTAGACAATGGGGTTTGTCATGTTACTTCCAGGAAGTTCCAAGTTTAGGGTCAGCCTCAACAGCTGCCATTTGTACAGGAATAGCTAATTTATCTTTCTGATTTCCAGTTGCCTATCAAGTGAGAGTTCAGGGAAAGTGAAATAGTGTTGCTCAAATAATTCAGTGAGACAATGATTATATATAGATAGAGCTCTCTCTCTCTCTCTGTCTCTATATGCATATATATGTTGTGTATATATATATACTATATATATATATATATATATATATATATATATATATATATATGTTTAGAACTTAGTGGCTGATCAACAAGTTTTATTCCTTTTTTTCTCTAAGGATTTCAAGACACACACACACACACAAACACACACATACACCTCTTATGCTTTAGTGCTATTTAATTGCTTGCAGTCCATGGATACTTTAGGTGGATGCATAACCATTGCAAATTACTTTGTAGTGCTGCTATAAAAATATTTTTTTACTGGTAGAATTATCAAATGGATATTGAAATTTGCAGTGATAACAGTCATTAATTTTGCCATTAGTCACTCTGAGCCTAAGAACTAAACACTTGATTATACTACCTCACTGAACACTCAAACAGCACTGTGCTTTTGACTTTAAAAAATCCATTAGCAAGGAAAAAAAATCAAACAACAAAAACCAGAAACCCAAGATTGTGAAGCAGTTGTCCCAAGGTCACTCAGCAATTACACAACTGGGACTTGAAACTGGGTTGCTGTGTTCCCCAAACACTGACTTTTAATTACTTTGTTATTTTCTCTAGTTAGTATTGATATGTAAATTTGGGGGCTGTTTTCCAGCCAATATTCATTAAATGATTGTTAGTTATATAATACCAACAGTGCCCCAGAATTTTCTGTAATCCCTCCAAAGCTCAAAGTGATTCTATTTCATATAACTCTGACCATGTGTCAAAGATAAAATGTTGATTAAAAAAATCTTGCCATATTTATTCTTGATGATATCCTTTCTTAGGCTATCTTGCCTTGAAATTCTGGAAAACTAGGGAATATTTGTTAGTGGCAAACAGATTACAAATATTCACCACCTACCACGTGACCCAGCTGATTTTCTAACGAGAAGAATCACAGGCTCGAGCCTAAGGCACAAGAAAAGACAAGACCTACCACCGCAATACATTATTTATAGTGTTGAAAGTATCATTTTATACGACTACATTTGGTCCTCACAATAATCCTGTGAGTGACGGGACAGAAATCTCCCTCTCTGGGAATTATACTGATGGTGGAGAGAAGGGGAGAATGGAGAGCAAGCCGTCCAGTTTGGAGCTCTGGAGACTGAGGAGGTGTTTGTTTACTGGAGCATGTTGAGGATCAGCAATGGAGGAGCTCAAGACTACTTCTGCGGCAGGTCACCTGTTTCCTGTGGAGTATTTTCAAACGTTTTTCAGATGGACTAGGAGGAACCTTGCAATATTATACTCAGTGCTGTATCTAATACACTATAGTACAGTATATATTATGAACTGTTATATATATACTGCGTTCTAATAGAGTAGATGAAGTTTGCGATACTGATGAAATCAGCTATTTAGTTGAACATCCAACAATATCATCTTTTGCATAGTAATTCATCTTACCTAAATAAATTGAAAAGACTAACTTGAAAATGGCTTCGACCTTGAATGTAGGTCATTTAAATCCCTGCACTGGAGTTCCAGAATGAGAGAGATTGAGACATAAAAGCAAAGAGCAGACAGACCTGTGGTTAAGGTTTATATTTTGCTTGTCTCTTAGCTGCTGACTTTAAGCAAATCTGTAAAATTTATTATATATACACATATATACAGTATATATGTGTGTAATAGTTTTATGTAACCTGCTATATATATACACATGTATACATAATATATGCATATATATATAAAATATATACACATGTATACATATACTTGTATATGTGTAAATATGTATATATGTGTATGCATATGTATATGTGTATATATGTATATATGCATACACATGCATACATACATGTGACTCCCAGGATTTTCTCTAAATGGACAGTTGTTTCAGAATCAGGAGAAAATAGTGTAAAAGAAAAAGAGTTAATAAAGTGACAGATTATCATCCTAACACTTTATCTCTTAATTATCAAGCAATCACTGGCTTTCTGGTTGAATATTAAAAAAAAAAAAAACCCTGAAGATTTACATATTCCTTGTGGATCAGCGGCAGTACAGATCTGTGATTTCTCTTTCAAGAGCTGGGTACAATGAAGAATGTTCTTTTCTATTCTACTCAGCATGCCATATAGGGGAAGTGCCCATTTGAAGAAGTTCATGAGCGGATGAACAAACAGCTCCTCAACCAAACCTTGGTTTATCCCTCCAAGACATCTCCCACAATCCACAAAAGCCACCGGGGTCAGATTTTCACTCCTCCCCCTTCCTAGCTAAAGTGGGATGGCTTACAAACCACATTTTGCACAGAGTGCTGTTGCTTTTCTTAGCTCCGGGGATGAGAGTTCGCTTGCTTTCTTTCCCTCCAGGAGTGACAACTGTGCTGACCATGACCACTTTGAGCATCAGCGCCAGGAACTCCCTCCCAAAGGTGGCCTACGCCACAGCAATGGACTGGTTCATCGCCGTGTGCTATGCTTTCGTCTTCTCCGCTCTGATTGAGTTTGCCACCGTCAACTACTTCACCAAGAGGGGCTATGCGTGGGACGGCAAAAGTGTGGTTCCAGAGAAGGTAGGCACTTCCTCACACCTGCGGTGCCCCACACATGAAAACGTTTTAATGTAAAAGATCTGTAAAATGTTCTTACAGTCCACCCAGAGCAGACCAGCCACAGTCTAGGGCTCAGGGTTCACCGGTGGCTAATGGCAACTCTATCAGACCACATCGCTTTAAGCCGATCGTTTCTGAAGAAATGTTACCAGGTTCTTCACTCATCCATCACATAGCATGGCTGAGCAAGTGAAACTGAACAGAGATTGAACGAAGGGAATCCTAAATAGTCCTACGTATCTTTTGCCCACTGGAAACATGAGGAGCGATCATCAACTAATTAATTAATAATTAAAGAATAATTAGCTCAGCAACTGAGTGCTGTAAAGCAACACACCCTGAAATGTAGTAGCCAAAAACAACAGCCAATTACTTGCTCAGGATTTGGGGGTAGGAGCAACCTGCTGGGGTAGGGGTTCCCTCCCACAGCTGCCGCCAGCTGGGCCTCTCTCTACCAGACATTCAGTGTTCTCACTCAGCAGTGGCGTTCGTGGTAGGTGAAGGTCGAGGTGTTCACTTTATGACCTTGAGATTGCATAACACCACTCTGCCCCTCCTAATTCCATTCTGCATTAAACCAGGGAAGAAACAGACTCCGCTTCTTTTATTTCTCTCTGTGTTAGGTTTTATGTGGTTTTGAACTCAAGGATTCTCACAGTGCTCTACCACTGTGCCAGGCCTCCAAGCAATTTTTGCACTGGTCATTTTTTTTTATTTTAAATAATTTATTTTGAAAAGAAAGAAATCACCCGTTTTATTTTTTGCCAGTCCTCAGGCTTGAACTCAAGGCCTGGGAGCTGTCCCTCACCCGTTTTTTGCTCAAAGCGAGTACTCTGCCACTTAGGCCACAGTGCCACACCTGGCTTTTTCTGAATAGTGTATTACAGGTAAGAGTCTCACAGACTTTTCTGCCTGATCCTCAGATCTCAGCCTCTTGAGTAGCCAGGATTACAATGTGAGCCACCAGAACTCAGCTCACACTTTTTTTCCTAGCAAAAATCTAATTAAATTTTAATTTTCTACAATTTAATTTTTATGCACTGGTCATTTTTGAGTTTGGGCATTGACTCTTGCCTGAATGTGTACCTGGGACCACCATCCTCCTATTTTAGGCTTCCTGCTGTAGCTGGGGTGGCAGGTGCCAAGCCGATACTCAACTTCTTCCACTGGTATAGATTCTTACAGAATTTTCTGCATTAAGATGGCCTTAAACTGCTATCCTCTGGATTGCAGCCTCCCAAGTAGCTAAGATTACAGAGTCTGCTGAGCACCTACTTTTTTGATGTCTGTAAGCTAAGATTACAGACATCAAAAAAGTAGGTGCTCAGCAGACTCCTTTTTTTTTTAATGACAAGGTATATAATGTATTGTCTGTCAGTGAGATTTTTTTTTTTTTTGTCGGTCGTGGGGCTTGAACTCTGGGCCTGAGCGCTGTCTCTCAGCTCTTCAGCTCAAGGCGAGCGCTCTACCACTTGAGCTACAGGACCACTTCCAGTTTTCTGGTGGTTTCTTGGAGATAGGAGTCTCACAGTCTTTCCTGCCCGGGCTGGCTTTGAACCGTGATCCTCAGATCTCAGCCTCCTGAGTAGCTAGGATTACAGGCGTGAGCCACCAGCGCCCGGCAAACTAAAAACAGAATTGAGTTTCAAAGCAAGGGCCAGTTTAGCCAGCAACTTGTAATTTTGCTTCTTACAGTGGTGTGTGTGTTGTGTGTGTGTGTGTGTTAAACAATTGCTTTGCTTTTCCTTCTACAGCCAAAGAAAGTGAAGGATCCACTTATTAAGAAAAACAACACTTATGCTCCAACAGCAACCAGCTACACCCCTAATTTGGCTAGGGGTGACCCCGGCTTAGCCACCATTGCTAAAAGTGCAACGATAGAGCCCAAAGAAGTGAAGCCTGAAACAAAACCCCCGGAACCTAAGAAAACCTTTAACAGCGTCAGCAAAATCGACCGGCTGTCAAGAATAGCCTTCCCGCTGCTGTTCGGAATCTTTAACTTAGTCTACTGGGCTACGTATTTAAACCGAGAGCCTCAGCTCAAGGCTCCTACCCCGCACCAGTAGGTCCTGTCAGTCACGTTCTGTTGTTCCGTCCTCCACACTGGGAATCGCTTTCTGTTCAAAGCGCAGTGATTCCTAGCTGCTTAATTGCCTCTGTCTTAAAAGAATTCGAAGGTTTCCTTATTTCCATAATTCATATAAGAACAAGAGACCCATGGCTGGCAGTCCAGAGCCGAGCAGAATATGCAGCTCAGAGACAGGAAAGAAAGCTAGAGAGAAAAGTGATATCCAAGGAGACCAAGGTGACAGGAAGGAAAAGAAGTCCAAAGCTAAGAGGAAAAGTGGAAGAAAAAAGAAATGGAGCTGACCTATAACACCCAAATTGCTGGTAGATGTATATTGCCAAATATGCTTTGAAAAAAGATACTGTATATGTCAAAAACTATTTTTGTGTGAAGGTATTTAAGAGGATAAATTATAAATGTTTAATGAAGAAAATTCTAAAGCACCTTTGTCTTTTTGCCCGAGCAATGGGGGTGCTTCTGGAGCGGTTTTCCTTTTTACGTGGCTGTACAGCTTTCACATTTTGTTTCCCAAACTAAATATTCTCCATATTTTCTCCTTTCCAAAAAAATCTCTACTGCATTCTTTAGTTGTCGAATGGTATTTTAAAATTCATAGAAATGATGTAGGCCAGGTTGCCACTGCTCGATGTAGAGTTCATTCACTCCGAGCTGGAGAAACACTTTGAAGACCCTGCTTGGCTACCATCTCATGTTTTGCTACTCTTCTCGATAAAAGAATCATCTTAAGAGACATCTGAATTATTTAATCAACTAGTTTTTCCATTCTATTTCCAGACAGCAAAATTGATTCAATAATCACTCTATTCTTGTTATGAAGATGTTTTTAGAGGGGCAAAGGTATTTTGCAAGCTCTAGAATTGTTGAATGTATTCTTTTATACAACGTCATTAAAAGCTTTAGATTGAAATTTATGACTAGGACACGAAAATACAATATAGAAAATTATATATGTAAATATTCAGCATGGGACTGTACATTTTTTTTTACTTTTTTAAAAGTTATGTTCATACTATTTGCATAGAAGTCACCACGGGTAGCCGTCAGAATGTGGCTGACAGCTAGGAGGAGGCATCCTGAGCCTATACTTCAAGACAGGACAGCATGTCAGGAGCAGATGCAACATACGAGGTGCTGAGTGTCAAGTTCTCTTGTACAGCAAAAGCGCCTAATAGAGACCGTTTTGTTTGGTGTCCCATAGCAGATCAGTCGCTCTCTGCTCAAGTCCTGCCATCCCACATTTTCCTAGGTTAAGCTCTTGTAATATAGAAAGAAAATGGGAAGTATTTGCTGGAGCTAAACAAATTCAACTGTATATTATTGCTATATTTGCTGATACCAACTATTTCAATAAGTGCTGTACCATATGTAACATTCACTATAAAATACATGACAGAGTGTACAGGAAATAGCTTTTATCGGGTAATCTTACTACATTTCATTTATACTGTAGCAATATATTTGTAGGCATACAATGTAAGGGCTTTAAATTAAAAGAGGTCCAGTAAGACTCCCTATAAAAATTCTAGTCTTTCATTACTGCCCAGATGTTTTAGAAATAAATATTTATGCAGAAGGTATTTTTTGAAGTCTCCTTTGTCAGAGTTTCACAGATATTTAAATTTAGTGTTGAGAGTCTACAGGTCATGGCGTAAACATATTTACAATAATATGGCATAAACGTTTCGCATCACTACCAAATAAGACAGTTGAGATTCCAATCTTAGTTTTGAGCAATGGTTTTTCTCTAAAAGCTGCTATCCAATGATGGAGTAAAATATACCTGTTTTCCTAACCAAACTCTGGTTTTCATTTTTCAATGTGTTTCACTGTTCGATTTGGTCTTGCCTAAACTTCATGAGCTAGTCCAATAAAGGCTGACCAAGAACATTCATCCTCTGGTATCATCTGTAGATACTATGTATAGAAAATAAAATAAATGATGGCTCTAACTTCTATGTTGCTGTTTATCTTGTTATTTCTCGACGTTGATCTAATGTATTTCTTGAGAGCATTTTATCTCCCAGACTCCTCTCGGCTAACCTTTGATCTGTACTTTGCTCATTAGATGTGAATACTTCTTCTTAGTCTGCTTTCTGCTATGCAATGACTGCCTTCCTCCCATTTCTTAGTTGTTAGTACATGTGGGTAGCACTCTATTGTATGAACTGATTGCACAGTTATCAAAGACCAACTATTCTATGTAGCTTTTTCTACAGTGCTTTGCTAAACCATGTGATGCTAGTTGAGTCTTCCTTGAAAATAAAGATGCACTCTTATAGAGGACAGTTCCTGTTTACTCCCAGGACTTTTTCTTCCCAAAAGATGACAGTGAATGTTTATTGCACCTTAGTGCAGTGAAGTGGCAATAAAACCCAACAAGAGTCAAGGCTGTTTATGGCAGATGCATGTATTGCTTTACAGAGTTTAGCAAAAGCTCTTGATTTTATGTCATACTGTATTCTATTATCATAATAAAGCTAATGTTATTCAATAATAAAATGGGATACTTGACTCTCTTTTCACACTATCCAAAGCCCATCCATTTCCTTGTTTTATCACGTTTTCAGGTTAGGTGAACCAAAGGTAACAATGACTAGGAGCAACCTGGCAATGTGGAAGGGTTCTCACAATGTACTGAGTTTCTTCCTAAACTATGACTTTTAGAGACTTGCTTCCAAGTAAAAAATGTACAGCCAGGCGCCAGTGGCTCGCACATCTATAATCCTAGCTACTCAAGAGAAGAAATCTAGAGAACCACAGTTCAGGGCAAGCGCAGGCAGAAAAGCCTATGAGACTTTACAACTAAAAATAACTAGCAAAAGGATGGGATGTAGGTGTGGTTGAAGTGCTAGAGTGCCAGACAAGCAAACAAGTCTAGTGAACATGAGATTCTGAGCTCAAATCCCAGTATCAGAAAGAAAAAAAAAACTTCTTTTAACCACTTGGTAGCATTTCAATATCTGTCAAACTAAAGCAAAACAAAAAAATCCAATGTTAAAATGTTTGTAGCGTTTGCATCTATCACTAATACAGAGAATTTATTTCCTGATCTCTCCATAGGACTCTGGTTAAACTGTTTTCGGAAATAGAATCTGAACTCACTCAGTGACTAGTGCATGTAGCCAAGGTTGAGAATCATTACTTTATTTATATTTATTTACTTGCTGAAAATTCCTATAACCAGAAAGTAAGGTAAAAGCATTTATACTCACTTGGAAGACTGAACAATGGTGTTCAATGTCATTAGTCGGCCAAACGAATTAAAGCTATAATGACCATAACAATATACCCGTACAAGGTCTATCAAATGATAGACCATAAACCTGAAGAGAATGTGGAGAAATTGGAACTCTTACATAGCGTATGGAAAAGAAAACCAGTACAACTACCTTGGAAAATGATTTGGAAGTCTCTAAAATATGAAATATCCACTTATCTCAAGTCTCAACAGTTCCACCAAGAATAAGGACACACATTCTCATAGGAACTCATAGATGAATGTTGAGAGGTATATTAGTTCCACAAACTCTACAGAATGAAGAAATAGTAGTATGTGAAAAATGTTTGGCTGACAAATGAGTAACAGAAGAGACGCAGATGGACTGAAAGACATGATGCTCTGGGGTTGTGACTCAAAGTGATGGAGAGACTGCCTAGCAAGTCCAAGGTTCTGAGTTCAAATTCTAGTAACACCAATGCCCCCCCCCAACCTCGCCATCATGGTAAGTGAAGGAAGCCAGACACAAGGCCACAATAGTGAATGTTCCAGTTACACAGACTGTCTGCATTGGCCGAGCAGACTGTGGGATCTGCTGCCGAAATGGGCCTGGGTGTGTGGCTGCTATTTGTCATCTAGACCTTTGGGGCGTAACTGGAAATATGTTAAAATTACATTTAAACAATGTTATTAATTTACCAAAACTAAATGAAAAGGCCTGTTTGAATGTTGAGGACATGTAATGTGTGTGAACGAATGCAGCACACTCAGGGTCCTCTTACAAAACTGAATTCCCTCTCACGATCATGCTGCTTTTCCTATGTGGCAAAAAAACCCAAAATTTAACCTAAAGACAAAAAAAAAAGAAAACCCAAACAGGCCATACCACAAATAAAAAAGGAGAAAGAGATTTCTTATCTATAAATAAGTTAAAGAAGGCTTCCAGGACCATATATGTAAATGATCTGATCCATATTCATGAACCAGGTGACTTATTCAACACCTTGGTAGGAAGATTTAGCCCTTCTCTTGACAACCAGTGTGATCATTAAAAAAAAAAAAATGAAACTTCTCCCTTAGGGGACTGAAGAATTCAGCACCCAAGTATTTTAGAAGGTTTTAGCTCAAGGATTCTCCAGTGCAAATATGCATTAAAGCAGTGGAAAGATTGCTAGAATCAACCTACAGTTTGCAATGTAGTAAATCTAGATAGTGCTCACGGATTTCCATTTCCAGTGAGTCCCTCAAAGTAATCCTAATGTTGCTGTTCACAGGGATAGCGTGGAGAAACTGACCTAGAAATCCCATTACCTGGAGTCTCTGGTAGTCCATCGTTTAACTTCAGAATTTAAGGCAATAACCCAGGTGAGTGAGGATTAAACGTAAGACAGGATTTAAACAACAAAGAATGTTAGGCATCTTTTCCTTTTATTAGGAAAGAGATGCACATTTTACTGTGAATAACAGAGAACCAACGAAATAGATCTTGGAGATGTTGTCCCATTCAGGATAAAATTAATAACTAATAAATTCCTTTCACCAATGGAAACAGGAGCACAAGTAAAATGAAGGCATAAAATTCAATGAACCTATTAACACAGAGGTTCTTTTTCTTATCCAAGAAAACTCGAATATTTTTGAAAGTCAAATTGTTTTCTTCTTTACAGAGGAAACTCATTTTCAGATATCCTGAGCTGTCCTGGCACCGTTAGCCTAAGGATCTGCAGGTGAACAGCGCTGGCTCTGCTATCTGTGGCTGTGCGCACTCTGCTGTCAGCACGCCTTTCCAGAACAAGGCGTGGTCTGTGAGTGTTCTTATGATAAATTCCTGCCATCCTGCAAGATGGAAGTGTAGATTAGCTTACAAAGCTTTCCTATTTTTAGAGTGGAAGACGTGCAGATCATAATAAAACACTGCCAGGATGTTTATAATATTGAAGGTTGTAAGACGACATTGTTGAATATAATTTGAATTTTTAGTACCACAATATTTCATAATAAAGGGGACAAAATAGTCTCTTTATCATTCTGTTGAATACTTTGTGTAACAAAGCTCTTCAGCCTCTAAAGGGTAAATACTTAAACTTGTTTTTAATGCTGGTGATTCTCTGTTGCTCATGACTCAGGTTCTTCATACAGATTACTACTGGCGGTTCATATGTTCATAAAGTTTGAATATGCATTTATAAAAGACAGTTATTCTCATAAATCCAGCTGTGTACTACAAATAAAAAATAATGAAGGCCACAATCTATAAGCCCTCAACCAAAAGTAGATCCAGCATTATGGTACATACTTTTGAACTTCTAACAAGAAACAAAAATATGAACTTACTGTTCTATGTTCATGTTGCCATAACCCTTAGCTATTCTACTTTATTAACAAAGAGAAATATTTAAACAGATGACACTGTAAGAACTGCTTTTCTAGATTAATCCAGATGTAGATTTTGAGGCTGAGCTAATATGTGTAATGAGTTGACTATGTATCAGGCATTGTGTTAGACCTAAGCCATAGAATGCGGATTATGATATGGCCTTTCTTTCTAGGATCATATCTCCTTTTCAAAGCACTCAGATAGTATAGATAGTAATGGACCAAAGCATATTTTACATTTGCGTGCATATGAACACAATTATGAATATGTGTTCAAAAGTACATGTCTACATTACCCCCAATTCCTATAACCTGTGAATATGACTTTATTTGGGAAAAAAGTCTTTAATGAAGGATCTAAAAAGGGAGCTCATACTGGATTATCTACCCCTCAATGTAATGACAGCCCTTAAGCAGCAGTGCTTTTAGAAGTAACAGGAAGATTTAACACAGACATGGAAGACTATGGAAAGCTGGAGACCAAGATTGGAATAATATAGCTGCTTGAGTGATAT